CTCGTCATTACTGCAAATTTGGCAGTAACGGTGATATTTAAATCTCTTGATCTGCCGAAAGCCTGCAGATTGGAAGCGCCGGATTTTTGGTTTTCGACGAGATTGCTCCACCAAATGGTGGTGGTGTATTTAGCTATGAGCTGAGAGTGGACATAAGAACAGGTGACGCGATGCGCGAAGCCATATTTACGCGGCTCGACCCCAGCTTAACCTTACTTCAAGTAGTACCAGACGCGGACAACTAAGACATTTTTCTAGGGAGAAATTGCGCAGACGGTTTTTCCTAAACAAGATCGACCGCCTCACTGGAAGAATTCTTTAAGCGGATGAAGATGAAAGGGTAAACGTTCGATGGGTTCATTAAGGCAAAGTGGGCGCTGATAGATAGAAGTTGGAGCTAAATCACGAAATACTAAAAAGATAGGCGGCCGATTCATTCAAGGTGCCACTCGCTCGGCGGTTTGAAGCCGACCTCGAATTAGAAAATGTGTACTCCGAGCCCCGCTGCGCACAGGCGCGGATATGCTATCTTTACAAGCTCCCGGAACAGAGCGATGCAGAGCGCCTGATTTGGGATGCTAAATGGGCCGTCGAGCTCGTCGACGCCCAACAGAAACCGCTAGTTGTCGGCAGGAAAGAGCTCAAGGACGAAGAAAACCAGGTGGAGGTATTTATTGTGGTCGACAACTTGACCCAGAACGTCATTCTCGTGCGGCCTTTTCTAAGGACTGCTCTCGTCGGAAATACATTAGGAGGTACGCTACAGTGTGTGCCAAGCCGTTCTTTGCTAAGAAAGGCCAACTGGTTCTTTCGCAGTCGTCGAGGTTGACGATCGTAACTCTTAGATCTTCAGTTAAAGTGAATAGTGCTGCGTGCGCTCCCATGACACCTTTCGTAGCTCCAGATAGCATGGCGACTACATAAAGACTATGTACGATCCACCGGGTTAGAAGCCTTCGGTGTGCTTTTCCGTCTACCAAGAGAATTATAGTCCCATTTCAGCAGTAACCTGAATCAGTCTATCCGTGTAATGGCAAGGCTGCTAAGTGATAAATTTAAGCATTTATTCGAGAAGCTGGGAAAGCTACTTATATGCACCTTAGTAGTCATACAATAACTGCTGGTGATCACTTTCTTCTATACGTACGTCTGCAGCGAGTCGCGTCAAAGTAACAGGCTAACGTTGTAAAGTACAGCACATGTCAGGTGTCGACGTGGTCAAACCCTTATCCAATTCACGGCCTTTTCGGTGGTCCAAAAAAAGGTGAATTATCGTAAGTTGAATGTACTTGATAAGTTGCGGTACCAAATTGCTCGTCTATCTTTATGAGATCATCGTATTCTCTCGGGAATTCTCCATTCGCTGGAAGCACCCTTTCCGACAATGCCATCGGTCTAAATTTTAAAGCATCTGAATTTTAAAGCATGCAAAAAATCGTATTAGGATTTCCTCGTTAGGAACCTACTTCTATCTAGAAAAGGTCGTGGCTCCTCAACGCCACCAACTACTGTTTGTCAGGTACAAAGCTTTTTAAGGCTAGCGTCGTATTATTGCTGATTTGCACTGAATTTCACATAGGTCGCGAAACCGCTAGGTGCTTTGTTAAAAGTGGGCCACCTTTCGTGTGAACTTCCCTTCAGCGGGGGCATTTCTAGTTCTATAGAAAACCCTGACGAATAGACTCGTTTCGCAACATATCCGTGAAAACTGGCCTATAAAAGTGCAAAATACGCGCGAACGGCGCCCAATTGCGGGACGTGGAACGAGTGGTAGTTTACGAGATTTCGAAGAAGCGAGGTGGCATTCGTTGGAGACAGTGTCTGACTGTTTTTTGAGCGGTAAAAGAATTCCACCTATACCTGCATAAACAGTCATTCTAGGTGGCCATTGAGAGTAGCGCGGTGAACTCCATGCAGAGCCAAACGGATTTGTGCCCCCAAGCTGGCCCCGTGGGCACTGTAGCTGTTGAAGTATGACTTTGACGTGCGCCATTGTTATACGAAGCGACGCTCCAAAAGGGCTGGTACGTGACAGTGCTGGCCCTGGATCGCTTGAAGCATATCAAGCGGTGAGCTCGCATTAGGCCCCAGAGGAATGGTCAAGTCGCCTTCTTGTCGAAAGATGTTAGGGACGACCGATTTCTTCTACCACGAACTACCCTGTACTGTTTGGGGCGCAGGGGTACGACAGGTCCTTTAGCTATCCGGTCGTCTTCGGACTGTGCCACCAAGATCATTCGGGTTCAAAGGCTGCCCATAGATTGCCGTTTCATTACTTCCCGCACAGGAACGTCTGGGCGGAGATCCGGAGACGCTACTGCAGTTCTGGCATATATCAGCAGACTAAATCGAACCATCTTTGCTCGAGACACGTGTAGAACTGTCGACGTGCCCTTTCGCGATGGTAGCCTTGAATTTTAAAGGAGCGCTAAGCACGTCTGCAAATGCGGCCATGTTCGTGCTAATGAGTAGAGCTTATTTACATTTTTTCTTTGCCTTTTCCCGACTCGCGGTGCAACAGTCTAGATCATGCTAGAAGCTCTGGCGGCCCTCTGAGACCGGTACGTGGCTAGCTCTGCAGTCGCCATCGATCATAGGGCAGTGTGTGACGCGTTCCGCCATGTCAAATATATAGACCATCCGCAGGCAACGGACGGGTGGAACGGACGACCTGCGCGGTCACGGAGCGCCTTTAGATCTGCTAAAATCACCCGGTTCCTCCGAGCATTTTCATTGTATAGCCCTCACAGTAAATACTATGTTCAGCAAGGCCTTAGATGCAACGCTATTCTACGGGTTCAGGACCGCACTGCCAGAAGAGCCGCCGCACTCGCGGTCTGTCCAAAGCCTTGTCATTTGATATTCAAGCTGCCTACAGAGGCTTTTCGGCTTTTCCAGCGAAGGCAAGTACTCGAAGAAACAACGAACGCTCCGGTCCACTTTCGCGCGATTTCCACGGCAACGTTTCCAACCGTCAAGGAAACTGCTGCTGTTCAGGTTTGAACAACCATGTAGTGTCAACAAACCCGTGGCGCAGTAGAAGTGCCACTTACCGTATCGTCGCCAACTTACGACAGACCTACGGGATATCTAAAAAATTGAACGGAATGGAGCACTCTAAACGAGTGAAACAGCCGTATAAATTGCAATAGCACGTAATTGCAACAAATATATTTTCGTTTCCAACCGATTGTGGGTATATAAAACCCTGCCACCAGTTAACCGCCAGTGTTCGACAGTTGAGCCCCATCATATGTATGTATATATATATATATATATAGCTGTTATGCTGTTAAGCTATATTCCTCCTATTGTGCTACTGGCCCATCTAATCGGCGCGCACACAAAAAATACCTAAGCTCCCTGTTTTTTTTTATGAATATTTGCTTTTTCAAGGAATCTGCTACATATTTTCATGCTTCACGCCCCAAACAGTTGAACAAAAAACACAGTCTCATTATAACAACAAAAGCAAGTTTATTAATAATTATTTAATTACTAATGTTAATTATATATTATTCGTTTCTCGCAGTCGTTAACCTACATTTTAATTATTATCACCATTTGTAGTAATTGATGATGAATATATCTTTCGGTCAATCGATCAATCTTCCAGTCATCATACAGCATCTTTCCTACGCTTTTGTTAAAATTCATACGTCTCCCTTGGGAGCCATTATAATTCTTTAAACGTTTTCACATTTCCCACTGACGCGGATGCAGATGTTGCTCACTTATTTGAGCCATTTGCTATGACCGCTACGGAAGCTTCTTCATCATGGCTTCCTCTTCAGAAACCACCCTAACCACTTTCTCGCATCACCAAAAAGCACCAAGAAGAAATAACAGTATGCCGCTATCATTTCACTTTCATTCCAGGTCATAAACACGCGAACGCTATTCTACAGTCCCTCACCGACCGAAGGGTATTTGAACAAAAAAGAAGCATCTTTAATCTTATTTAGTCAAGTGGAGAGTTAACAGTAGTTGGATGATATAATTTAATTTATATTTTCAACATATACTATTTATAAAATCAGCTATACCGCCATCACCAGCTATTGTAATGTAGTCCGGTGCGGCTAGTTGAGAGAAACCAGACGCTTTGTAGTTGTTTCTGGTCTGTTCCGGCTTGTTCATCTAACCACCATCATGCCTCACACAGGAAAAGTATTAATTAGAGCAGTGCGCCTCGCCATTCCGCTGTGCCCGTCCCCCTTCGTTTTTCCTCTCTTTGCGCTTTTGTTCCGGTTGAATTTATCTTCATCATGGCAAGTGTTCCTCGTCCGTCCTTTAATGCTCACCATTTATAGAGTTTCCTACTTAGCTTCAGTTTCAAAAGACTGCCGCGGACTTCGCAGAGGATACAATGGTTACAAAACTTACTTACAATCTTTGTACACCCTTCAATTCTCGTTATCATCATCCGAAACCAACGAAGCTTATATATGTACATTATGCGGACCACTTGGAGAATTGGTGATAGTCGCCAGTTTTAGCGCCGACAATATTTACGTACGCGAAATTTTAGACATCGTTGTAGCAGCTCCTAGCCCCAGAAGATTTCCGTAGACATAGTATCTACCTCTCAGCTCTCCCCCATTGACCCGCGGCTGCTGTCACGGCCGCTATTATAATGGCAAAGAATAAATAGAGTTTACTTAACGATTTTGCAACGGCGCATTATACTTAAGCGATAGCAGTACTATAATATGGGCGGCCAAAAGTTCAGTTGACTCGTAGCTGTGTGACGTCCTCGTGAATTCTTCAAACCTGCTCTCTGTCTCGTTGTCAGTGTTGTTTATGTGTATCTAAGATGATACTTGGTGATCTCTGACTAAATAGCGGAGCAATCAATCCTTACTCAGTTTTCGCGTAGAGTTTCCACTCGCACTCGTCTAGTTTGACTATTCTATAGACAATTCGCGCTCAATCATGGTCTGTACAAGTATATTACTACTCTTGGGCTTTATGCTTTACTCTGTACCTTATTATATATATTTTTTTGTTTTTTTTTTATGAAATTGGCACCTTTATAGTAACAGCACGCACGCTTCAGCGCGTTCGAAATTATGGACGATCGTCTTATCATTTACGCAAAATGAGCTTATAATATTTCAGTCGTCATCATCTGCATTTGGCATTAGTTGAACGGTTTTGTCCTTACTGAGACGCGTCGGCCCTGGAGCGCAACGAGACGATGTCGACCAACAGCCGTCACGATGACAATCATTTGTCCCATTTGAATTATTTATCGATTGTTAAACACTGATTGAACTTGCAGACGCTCAGAGCTGTTTTGCGTTAGAAGACTCGCTTGAAATGTTGTTAGATTTGATTCTTTTCAGCAGATATTGATTAGCCGGCCTCAACTATACAAACGCGCGATGGAACTTAGTCATGCTTGAAATGCCGACACCGGTACATACATTCAACTCAGCGGGAACTGGTGAACGTTTATTTATTTCTGGCGCTCAAGCAGCTGCAGATTGTTAATACTGCCGGAAAGGTCGCGTTGATAAGCCGGTAAAGTTATAGATGGTTACTACTACGCGTACACAGAGTGCGAATCCTCCAAAGGAATCTCGGAGCCTGCCGCCCACTGGCCTAGGCTTTCGACACCTGAGGTCAACGTAGCTCCCACACCTCCTACAGACGAAATCGCGCCTCCACTACTTCCATGTGTAGGCGCAGCTTGATATTCATGGGACCCTGGTGGTAAAAAAAGTAAATAAATAAGTATAACTAGAAAGTTACTGATAAGCCTGATGGTTTCCGCTGAAACAGTTGTATTAATAATGCAATGTTGTACTAAAATTATTCACTTATTAGGAAATCTGTGATCAGCTCTCGATTCCTTAACCGGCGGAATGAAGATCAGGAAAAAAAAGAGCAATCCGGTTGCATTCCACTCAAACTTTTCTCGACCCAGACATACTCGAACGAAACATACTGCTCTAACAACGGACTGGGTAGAATAATGTATATAGGAAAACGAAAAACGCAGTGCACGATGCACTTATGCATAACTGGATGATTATAAGACTACTTGATCTAATTAAAATATATAAGTAAACTATACACATCTAGTATTAAGCGACAGCGCCACACCAATCTGCATACAAATACAGTTACAAAGCAATAGCTAACTTGATAAAAAAACTGCACATGTACTATTCCATGTTTGTAGTTATGCCAACTCATATATGATATCTTCTGCACCACTATTGCTAGCCCATTATGCAGCTGATGCGATTGTATTGGATAGCTATGTATTCATAGAGGGACCTACACAAATGGCAACTCTTGGAACAAAATGAATAATTTGAGCTACAAGCAAGTAGGTATGTGTTTTCGTAGATAAAGAAGCTATGAATACCTACAGTTATAGCTACATGTAAAAATGAACGAGGAATGCGATAGACTTAGTAAAGCCAGCACGAAAGCACAATGCATGAAGTATTGTAGGGGGCGTGATACATTTGGGCTAGCAAACATCTACAAGAGACAGGCCTAATCAAGAGCTTTTTTTTGAACGGCACTAGCTATAACTGAGAGCCTTCAAACTGAACTTACATGTAGGCATGCAGTTTGCATTAGTATTTCGTGTATTATTGAGCGTAGCGGTTGCATTTCCGACAGAAGTGCGATGCGGCGTCGAATAAAGCTCAGTTTCTGCAAGGCCCCCGTTAGGACCACCTCCGTTGCAGCTTGCTCCGGTGACGCGGGCAAACGTGGAACCTCCGTGTTCGTGCGCCATCGCTCTATGATGGTTAAGTGTTGAATAGAGAAGTATGTTTTGCTCCTGCATGTAAAGCTTCGAGTCTCGATAGATAGTTGATGTGTCTGTAGATATAAAGAAAAATGCAGACAATATTCTTGAAGCTCATAGTTGCGCTAATGACAGTACAAATTAGGACGTCACCTTTCCGCTAGGTACCTATTTTTAGCTTGCAGAATTTTCAGGCATAGTTATTATAGCATAAGTCTCTATCCGAAAGCTACTTGATGTATAATACGAATGCAAACGAGGACTAAGACTTCGATAAAGCTTTAAATGTGCAGAAAAAAAAATCCTCTACAGATTACCGTGAAGTGTGAGGGAGATCTACAACAATGTGTCACTGAGAAGAACAAATAGCTTTTAGAAAAATATTTTGTGTATAATTACTAAAAATTACAGATTACCGTCATGTGTAAGGGAAATTTATTATCTTATACCATTGAGAACAAAATATAGCTTTCAGGAAAATTCCCTATATAGGACTACAAAGAAAGGACAAGTGCCCTAGAATAAATCCGGAATAATTTCGGCAAATAGAATCTAATACTTATAATAACTTACTATATACTACTATACGTTCTGTATATCACGCTGTAGCGAAACGTATGCAGATGCAGACGACAATAAGATATAGGTTTGCATAGAAATTTTGACAAACTAACCGTGGCATGGGCTTTGGGTGCCCCGCTGATCTTGAGCCCCACGAGACAGGACGAAAAGCTTTCTTTTAAGGCAGACTGTAACTAACAGAGCAATCACCACGAGAATTGCAATCAGCGGTGCAATAATCGACACCGCTATCCATAATGGCGAACTGGACGGCGATGAGTCCTCCAAGAGGCCACTTCCTATTGAAGCTGCAACACGTATAGATAGATGACACTGCGGAACTCAATGGTATGCTCATTTAACAGGTCTTCTTCATATATATATATATATATATATATATATGAAGAGAAGTCAGGAAAGCGCTTGAAAAGGTGTTACCTTTTCAGTCGTTCCCTGTTGACAGTTTTTCGCCTTTGAGCGACCATACGGTGAGTCGAACGTGTACACTGTTTCTCCTTACTCACTTGGCAGCCTACTAGCTCATGCTACCTAAATTAACAATAGTCAGCGTAGATATAGTGAACAGCCAGAAAACGTGGTCTGTCCTGTAAGAACCTGGGATTCTAGGTTTCTTTGGAGCTATTCGTCAGGACCCTTTCTTTCGGCGTGCGTTTGTTTAACAGTGAGTAGCGGGCGGTCGTAGGTTATCCGCATGCAAAGTGCTTCCTCATGAGAGTAGAAATAGAGGGCTGGTGTTTCCGTTTCTACCGTTTGTGGCTTTTGGTTGTGTACACTGCGATTGGTATCGTCTTTGTTTGTGCGTTTTCGTTCTATTGGTTGGCGCCGTTGGGACGCGTCCAGTACCAGAATATATTTACAATACATTTCAAAGCTTGTACACATCTCGTGAATATTCAACACGAAACGCGTTGTCGCAGTCCATATGGGGTGTGCTGACTTCATAGTACAAAACGGGCAAAGGAAGTTCAAGTCTCTGCACGTCTCTGAGAACGACGCACCGTTCAACCCTTAGTCGTGGACCCCTACAGTCGGACAGAATGCTGCGTCGGGACCTAGGGGGCCCGCGTGCGTCATACAGCCCACGCGGCGGTAGCAGCAGCAGCAGCAGCAGCTCGCGCACGTAAGATTGTAAATCAACCACCAGGATGCTGTCACGACGTATAATATCCAAACGAAACCAAGTGTATGCGCGATAAGGTAGGCGAGATGCGGCGGCTGTGGTTTTGGGCGGAATACCAATCGCATGCCAAGGCGGTGGGGCTTAGACGCCAGTGGCCGACGGCCAACAACAAACAACCACCGGCTCTTTTTCGCTCGGCCGCTCGAAGACGAAGACCACTACGTCCGCAGCCGCCGATACTAGCGAACATAAATGTGCTATTATACAATAGCAGCAGAAACAACAACTGCATCAAGCACAAACTCGCACCTATAACAATCTAACGTAACCCATGCCGCTAACAGAAAAGTTGACAGGAGTCCATTTTCAATAAGAAGCGAAATATAACACGTTTCCTGATTGTACTTATATATGTAAACGCAGAAATACAATATCTTCTAGTTCTTTTTATAGCCCTTTATAAGAAGCTCAGCTTTATGGAACGAAATAAATATAAAATACAGATTTAAGGTTATAAGCAAATTTACGCCATATATTAAGTGAAAGGATATATAAAACATAGCCTTGGTAGAATCAGCGCTTTAGGCTTATTATAATCTATCTTCTTAAAAAAAAAAAAAAAAAAAAAAAAAGAATAATGCTATCGTAATCATTGTTGCGCCATCGGCTTGTTTGGTCACACGTTATTGTTAGTTTGATACCTAATCCATTCGCTTGGAAAAAAGTATTTAGAATGTACGGAAAGGTTGGTTTTGATGCTTACTACAGTATATATAAACGCATGGTGATACATCGAGTTCTTACCGTAGTTATTAAAAAAAAATCGTAATTAACGGTTAGCGTAAAGATTCAAGCATTGCATGAGCAGCTGTACCCTTAAACACAAAGAACTAACCTTGCCCGACAGTAGAGAAATCCGTTGTTTGTACAATGAAATCTGCTTGGGTCGATCCGGCATCGCTAAAGGCTGTTACAGAGATTTGGTATTCCCGCGATGGACTCAAATGCTCAATGGTCTTACTACTTGTCGTTGAGAGTGCATCGGAGAGCACTACCCATGAGTTGCGTTCCTTTGACCTATAGCAGACGCATACACATTGTATTTACGTTTAGTTTAAACTATTTATGTTCGAGTTCAGTCTAAGCTACTAAAAAAAATAAAAGTTGCTTTCCTGTATCGTCGCGTGTGTGCGTTTCGAGTGGCTAGTGCAATATAAATGTGGGCCTTTGTTTTCGTACTAGCTAATTTTCGTCTCAGTTATTTAAAATCCTATACTAGATAAAGAGCAACGAAGTGTTTGCACCAACAGGTACAATGGGCTATACCAGCTGACTATTGACGTTCGAAGATACATATTGCTAAAGGAAATTAACGATCTTTTAGTGTGTTACGTTCCTTTTTCTAATGTTTTATTCACTAGTAGTAAAGTACGTCAAGTTATTGAGCTTTTCTTACGTTCTGCACAACTCCAAAGTTGAAAATCGATTAAAATGAATTTATTTGAAAAGTTTAATTTCAAGCTCCAGACGTGGATCCGCCGTATAGAAAAAAAAACACAGCAGTCTCAACATATCCTCTTAGTCTTTTTCCAAGGTAAAATAATTGTTCAAATAAACTGAAACAGATGTTGTGTATAAAACCAACTACTTAATAGTTGCTTGCTAAGTTCAAAAACGCTATTTTCGACTTATCGTTTACCTTTTAAGTTCATGAAGGTACGCCTTAGATCGCCTTCGAAGGATGATAGTTGTCAATTGAGCCTATTTATCGTAGCTGCAGGATCGTTAGCCCACGCAGAACAAGTCGCTTGGATAACTTCCTCAGCTATTAAGTGGTCGAAATAATACTAAACACTACAGCAAGTATTGACATTTTCGATGAACTAGATATGCATCATTTTGATCAATGATTTTTTGCCACTCCTCTGTAGAACTATGTTAAGGGAGTTCTGAAGAAATCGAATTAGATGGTGGTCTGACGGTGCAAGGTTTGAACAATACGGTGAATGTACACGAATTTTAGCAATTTTTGCCAGTTAGCTGAAGATATATGCTGCTTGACATTATCATGCTGGAAGACGCCTGTCCTTCTAGTCACTAGTTTCCGTGGTTTCATTAGTTGCTGATAACGGTTGATCGTATTGACAAGCGAAGGCAGCTTCTAATGCACGATTCCTTGGCAATTCCGCGAGTCAGAGAGCATCGCTTTTTTTGCCATCGGTTTGAATTTTGACACAAATTGTTTTAACGATTACTGTCGTACGCGATCTGCTTTTCACTATCCGTGATCAGACGCTTCAGAAATAGCTCGACTTTATTGGATGTTTGAACACTTCCGCAGACAGAAATATAGTCACTAGGAGTATTTTGTATTAACTTATGTCGCATCCAAATATCAAGACTCTTCCTATAGCCAGGTTTCCTCAAATTGTTTAATTCGTTAGCGATGTCATGACTCCTCACGTATCGATTTTACCCATTTTTCACAGAAACTTCATTAATCATTCGTAACTGATCGGCTAGTTTTTCGATAAAAACTTGCAGAATGAAAGCAACATGACAATGTTTAGTAATAACGCATCCTGAGGTGCATTCGTGTTTTTATAATAATAACAACATTTAACATAGACTTATAGACATTTCTAAGCTACCCTATCTTAAAGATAACATAAACAATATATTACGTTTACTACTGCCGACTAGCGGTATGATGTTTCAGATGAGACCAACGCCGACTTGTATTACACGAGATACATGATATCAAAGCCATTTAGCTTTAAAAACAATCGATACCTCGTTCACGACCCGATGTCTGCCATCGGTACCAATTCATTTATTTCTCACCCGATACGCTCATCATTGACGTCCACACTGAATATGAAATTCAATGATCTGAGCGAAGCGACGACATCTTCTCAGCTTCATATAGCAAAACAAACTTTGTAATGGTATATATATAAAGCTTAACCGTGAAATCATTACCTTTTTTTAAAAAACGCAGGAGTCTTATTAGCTGTTCATTGCGGTGATTCATTTTTACTACTATGCAAACCCGTAATGTTGCGTTTCAAAGGTGACAATTTATTAATGCAGACGCTGCATGCATATATTGTCGTTGTCGTCAGCACCATCGTCATCACGTATAGTGGTGCAATTGCCCTAAACATATTAGATATGAAATCTCTGAATTTTTTTTCACGTCTGTATATATTAAAAACACTGAAATGGATTTCGCTGCACCTATGGGTTAACATCTGCGGATTCAACGAAACGTGCCCTTGACGTGATCAACGGCCGACTACAGGTTGTGTAAGAAGTTGCCGGCTGATTCTGCCCGTCTCCCTCTGTCTCCGTAAACAAGCGGGGGCAAATTACTATACGATAAGTAAAACTGCAACGTTTGTAGTAGGGAAAAGCGTACTTGAAATAATATACCGTTGAAATAAACAATTGATGACGATATTTCTCTCTGCCGCGACTAGGCAAGGAATTTAGGTATGTCACAATATTGCTACAACAAGTAACGCTATGAATGCGGATTCGATGACTTCAACATCATACCGCCGTTTAGCTGAAAACAAGACTTGCATCTTCGTCTCCACAGGCTGCACTTGACGCAACCATTGAGAATACGGGGGCGATCGTAAGCTTTGTTTGTTGCTAATTACGTAGTGAAGCACGCGCTAGCGACTTCACTTAATCACACCATTTTTTCTGTTGAAACTCATTTTCAGATAAATGGTCCGAATTATCGCGTTTGGGACTTACAGAAGCTTGGGGTGAGTGTAAAGCGGTTACTCTATTCATAGAACGTTATTTTGCGACGCGGCTCGTGGAACGCAGGTAGTGCTGGGCCATGAATGACGATGGAAGGGCAGCGGAAAGTGAACTCTATTATGATATACGGTAAATTTTCTTGTAAGCCCAAGTAAAGACGCTTAATGTAGATGATTTTCATTTCAGTAGGATAAGACAGTCTGCTATATAACGCGGTAAATAATCAATCTTCCAGCCCTGAAACTATGTTCCTAGGCCAACTAATTTCGATGCGCAACGCTAATGTGAAATGACCGCCCAGACCTGGTGGTGCCCCCAATCTAGTCCTGTCGGGACTGTATAACGAACAGAGCCTGTAAAACTATGCCAAATACAGTTCATGACCTAGAACTGTAGAATTATCGGTTGGATTATGCAGCGCTTTTAAATCAAAATTACCTAAAAAGGATCAAGTTATGCAGGCGGCCCCTAAGCGGACACTTGCTTGGCACCGTTCGCCGTGTTAACGTAAGCGTCCAAATACAACAACGCGCTTTTGTTTATTATTCTTGGACCACCGAAACTGCCCGCCGCCTTCTTACGTACTCTATATTATATTCTATTTCAAAGTAATGGAGGATTTACGATGAAATCGTTTCGGGCTTATTTAGCGTAGTCATAATAATGTCAAATTTAAAAGGCTGCCGAAAACTGTGAAGCAATAGCTCAAGAAACTACAGTTTTTCTATTGTTGTTCATTTGCCAGCCTATCTCACGAATTGTTACCTTGGGGATAACAAAAGACCATTGGTCTATGAAAGAAAGATGGTTTATTGCAATCCAGCTCGGAGCTCGTGGTGTGGGACCGGAAAATCGAGAAAACAATATTTCGCTATGTAAATTTCTCACACGAATTTGATAGGGCCAACTATATTTCTTCACTCAAAAAGTACTAAATGAAAACGCAAATCTAAGCTTTAACTCTAAATCATTTAGGGGAAGAGCTTTTATATAAAAAGTAAACTTCGTTGTCGGTAGGCCAAGGGTTTGTTCGTCTTCGATAGCCTGAAAGTTTCCTCTTGGATCCATCCTTTTTCTAGTCTTCTTTTTGCAAGTAACGCTAAACTATTCACAGCTTGTTTATAACATCTGATGAAAATACATTGTCGTATCAATAGAACGGACTAAAACATCTCCAAACCATCGTTGGATATTGGTGTCAAATCAGGCTTTTTCATTCATATTACGGTATTTGTTTACTCTATGTACAGTGTATATTTAGATGTTTCTATACGATTGCTTAAAGGCTATGCTATGTCCAAGCTTTTAACTCTCAGATACAATGGCCTTGCTCCCATAAGGAGATCGATCATCCGATTCGGGGCTCAAACGGGCCAAAAGATCTATCAGAACATTTATACTTCTAAACACCTTTATGCGAATTCACATTGTCATGTCGCAATCTGTTAGACTCTCGGTCAATTACAGCTGATGTATAGTAATTAGGGGACTTGAAATTTGGTCTCCAAAACAGCTGTAACTTTTTTCCAGACCGGGCTTACACGCTCGCCTGGTCCTGCGTCGACCGACCCGCATTAACCGGTACGTCACATTGCGAAAAGACGTATGGCCATCACGATTTCATCGCAGCCTTCAGAGCTTTCTAGTACTAGATAGATCCCGTGGAAAAATATATGATACTTCGATGCTTCCTACATTGGACACAGCACGTAGAAGGTAGAAATTTGGATTTGCTCACAGCGGGCACATACTACGTGTCGTAAGCAATTCAGCGCTTATAAAAATCATACCTGAAGTCTTCGTGGGCACTTCGAGCCACCATGTCCCCCGCTATGTTAAATGTGCCAGAATTGTCAAAAACGGCTTTTGAACCTTTCCGCTGTGTTTTTCACGTCTTGGCCTATATGAATCTGTCCCTGTCTCTTTAACCGCAATACGGCAAACCATCGACTTCGGGTAACCAAGGGCGTTCATAAGTTTGATGGAGGTCGCCCTCGCAAAGATATTGGACAGTAGCTGACCCTCGCTAATACTCCAAACATGAACCACCTGTCTCTGCCATGACGATATTGTTATTTTAAAAGGAACTGACTTATTTATTACTAGCGGTGAGAATGTCGGGCAAACACGACGCCAGCACATGATTCAATTAATCCCTATGTTGTTTCCACAGGTATCTTTCTTGTAGAGTTAACATCTAATCAAATTTACGGCAGACCATGCCATTGCACTTGCAACTTAGAAAGCGAGTCAAGCTAAACAAATATTTTGATGTGTACAGGTGATTGTCGATGGATAGGAACTTGCAGGAAGACGCTTCATACGTGCGGTTACTTAAATCACATGCTGAGCATCTTACTAGAGGGGCCGACAGTTGAACTTCTAGAAAAAGTTCGTTTAAAGAGTACATACATGTAGAGCCTTAGGTACACGAGAGTAATTATATTTTTTAACGAGCCCTATATTAGCTGATTAGCAAATTATGACCCGTTTTCACAAAACAAACACGGTACTCGCAGCCGCGAAAACGTAATTAGTTTTCACAGCAGACTGCTTCCCCTCTGACAAATAAAGACATTTAGTTGCTATTCTTCTAATTATTATTACTTCTACTGCTATGGTATCGATTTTTAATTAATTTGTGCCAACCCTAGAAACAGGGCACGTCTACCTGTTGGTTTCGATCTTGAAGGAACAGTAGGTGATGCTTTGTGGACATAATCAGGCCGCAGTATCTAACAGGATCATCGAAAAAACTATTCTAGAGTAACCGTTCGAAAGATGTTTAAGTAATTGTTGCTCACTGAAGCTAAGATATATTGTAAATGAGAAATATGTTTTGTAATCCCGTGCGGACGTTAAAGAGATGTAGACATTTGCCAGGGCATCGATGTAAATTGTATTGTCTGTACGGATGACTGCAAGATTAAGTTTAACTTGATCAACCTGATATTAAAAAAAGAACTTGTTTACATTTTTCTACATAATGATTTATTGTGAAATATAGAATATTGCAAACCCAGGCAAGCTAACGCAATTTTTACTGGGAAAAAATCGGGAGTGATGTTGACTGTTTCTAATGGAAATGGGTTCTAGTACAAGTGAACGCTGCTGCATCGCCGTCTCAAAAACGCTGTGTGCCATTGGTACATATCGTTAAAATGGCTGCACCTTAATGGCTGCACAGCCGTCTCAGAAATGACTTTCAATTTTTTATGTCTACTACATAATTATTTTCTGTAAGTTGCAACGTCAAAAAATACACTGTGTTCCTAAAATTAACATTGGCCAAAGAATTCGATCATACGTTTTATTGCAGTTGCCATTTTTTGTTCTTTGAGCCAAACACGCGTTCAAAGAGGCATATGTACCTTATTACTTTGATCATTAATTACTATTAAAGCAGTTGAACGTCGGTGAGCGTGAATATGGGTGGCACAACCTATGAGACGCTGACTCCGACGACCCCTAGCCATCTATTATAGCATCCGGTTGTTTGCAATTGTACAATATCGGCTATTATTGATGTTATCTATTAACTATGAATATGTTAAGGCTTGGTGTCCTTTCACGCACTTCAAATGAAGTAAGTTGTAAAACGTATATATAATCGTGGAAGTAATCTGAAAGAGACACTCGACTATACAGTTCGGTCCACTAATCCGATTTGGCTGCATAATGACGATATTTATACGTATTACACTTAGATAAAAGCCTAATTTATGCAAATCGAACGTTTGCCTCGTGGTACTCTTCTGAGTTTCGCATATAAACTGAAAGGATACGGTGAGCTTTTTTATGATATGGCTAAGAATTCTTTTTTTGAGGAAAATGAAGGATATAATACCGCTATATCTAGATCGTTGCATCTCCGCAGATGCTCTTGTGTATGCTTTGGATTCTCGAAAATAAAACGCCCTCAGCAAATCTTGAGCAAAACTTGTTTTTTTTCTATAATTGGGGTTGGCACAATCTTCAAACTACACAACCTGGCAGCTGTTTCTACTAAAAGTTTTCGGTTAAGACAGCCTCAAACATTGGTTGTCTAGTTCTTTCCTCGATGTGATCCAATGTACTTAAACATGTTTAACGTAGCTAGCTTTGAGTCGTTTAAACGAAATAAGTTATTATTGGTAATTTTTTTTCTCTTCTAAATTTCTTGCCATTTTTAGTTGAGGAGCAAGTTCGATGGCGTAATTGTTTAGCTTTATTACCGCTCGTTGCAGGTTGATTCGCTCCTGCTGTATACTACAAGATCGCTGTTCTGTACTATAGTATAATCCTTTGATGAGACGGTGCCCTTAATGAAAAGCCTGGACAGCAACAGGCTAAGGTTATCAGTTTATACACTGTTAGTATGATGGCTTTCAAATCTGAGCTAAACTGTGGTTTGAAGTGTATGGCCAATAGATGCTATCAAAGTTCCAGATAAGTCTATTACAAATATATATTATCAAAAATTCTAAGTAAATCTAATACAAAATTAAGTTAAGTAAGTCCATTGCATTCCAAGGATTCATTCGCGAAATTACATTGTCAAATTCGACGATTTCCATATCTAAGGTCGATAGACACGATCTATATAAAAGGCTCCGAAAGATCGATGTTGCCTCCAGACGAAATATAGATACGGTAAATGGTATCTTAACAAATTTTTCAAAATGACCTTGTCGGCTTTCAGAGTAACTTATTGGCGACCAGATATGTTCAGCCGCTTACCGAATGAAAGCGGGACGGGCCAAACTTCGGCTGCACACTTCGCAGCGTCCGGCCTGGCGTTTTCTTGGATGCTTTCAGTCATTTGCTATCCTTATCTCGCCTTTTCGCACATGACCCACAGTTCAAGCAAAATGATTCCGATGTGGCCTTATTCCTCGTTAATAAAGCCTTGGGTACTCCCCTAGCTTTCGTACAAGTAATTCGCTAGCCCGAAACTCAAAGCAAGTACGAAAGTGAGCAATACAGGAACCAGGCAAAGGAAGGACAACCAACTAGCAGTCAGTAACAAGCCAAATAACTAACTGAGAGGAGTATAAGTGCTAGCTTTCGTTGCCACCGACCAGCCGACAGAGCCACCAACCAGCTAAACAGCAATTATCTCGGGCTCACCGTGTGCCAGCCATTGCCTACCTCTCTCCCGTTCCCTTCTCCCTCCGTACTATCCAAGCTTTGTTTAATTTTATTACACGTCGTTTTCTTTTCCTCTTTTCATCCTCGCCTTGAGCTTCTGGAACCTAAATTCGGGTTGTTGCGTAAGACACTCATAAGTTCATAAGTGTCTACGGAAAAAGCGGAAAGAAGAATCCAAATAGGGCCAAAATAGCCGTCTGCAGTAGCCATGGGAGCAGCAGTAGCGGCGGCATCAAAACCGGGGCATCATCGGTCGACGTCCGTCGCCAACGAGAGGCGAATTGGGGTAAAGTCAAAATGAGGGTTAAGAACAGTCGTTGTGGTGGCAGATGCCCTAATCGGCTCAAGACAAACGGGAAAGAGGCGATAACATGGCAGAATACTGGTGACAGAAAAATGTCTACAGTAGGATAACTGATTAGAATGGCTAGGGAAGCGAATAGTAGGGTTGTCGATAGGACACTAAGAGACAAACTAGGATTACGTTGATGTTTGGTTTCCATCTGTCCTAGGCACCCGCTGAAGCTGCTACTTATATAAGGAGGAGCACTACAGCGCCCCTTCTACTATAACCCTTTATTTCCTCCTAAAACACAAGTACCTTACATTGCATCGTTATTTCTCTTTAGATTCCACCTCTTTCCCTCACTCGAAGGTTTCTTAGACGAGCGACTACTACTCCACTACCACTGTTGCAGCTCTGACCATGGGAGTCAGCTTTGCTTCACCGCTTGTTCACCCGCTTAAGTCGCTTAAGCCTTTCCACGATAAGAGAGCTACTACGAGCGCCGATCAAGATACTATAGAAGAAGTGGTAAGAGTACGTTGTTGTACTAGCAGCAGCAGCAACAAAAAAGGCGTCGCCTTTTTCTCTTTTTATTTTTCGCAGCCGCACCCCCTGCTGCGCCCCATACAACTTCGTCTCTCTTTCTTTTTCCTTTTGCTGCTCGAGATAAGATAATTCGAAGGACAGGCAACAGCATACAACAACAAGTCTGTTGAGCTGAGGAAGTTGGCAGTTAACTGCTGTTGTGACTCTGCTCTGTCCTCGCTCGTATTAATTGCAGTTGTAGCAGCAGCTGCGTGTTATTGATCGAGGCTATGCGGTAAGCCTTGTAACACGTCTTGGCTCGATCCGACATAAAATCCAGTACGAATACGAGACGTTCACAAGCAAAATATGAGGTGCTTGATATTTTTAGGCCTGTCTTTGCATGTGTGATCGTGTGTCTGTCTAGAGTTAACTTTCCTTGGTAAATTCATCGTAAACAAACATGGAGTTACTGTTTCATACTGCTTTTTAGTATAGCGAGAAATTCTTTTAAATGTATGTCTCTTTATAAAAAAAAAAGGAAAAAAGTTTTTTTACGATGAGGCACTTGAAAGGTTATATTTTGGGTGCTTCAACGAATGGCTGGATTTCCTGATATTGTCCACGTGGTAGCCTAGTGGTTAACGTATCTGCCTGCTAGTGCTAAGGATAGGCTTGAATCCGGGTATAGATACACTTCGTTTCGTGTCATCCCCCTGATGGAATGCCTAACGGCGATCCCGGACTTGACACTCGAAGCATAGAGAGAAGCTTACCGATATTGTATGACGAAGCGCGTGACAGGACAGGTGGCCTGGGCCTGCAATGCGGCAGCTGCGGAATCCTTCCAAGCCCCAAGGTAGAGAGTGATACACGAAGAGTTGGTAGATATAAAGCGTTCAAGTAACGGACGGATCGGCGGAGTACCTAAATCAGAAGGGACGTAAGTATTTTTTTATTATGTCAAACGAACAACGTTTTTGCACAGATGTCACGTCTTAGTTTAATTTACCTTTAGTTCTGGCAACTGCCCGAGGTCCAGGTTCCCCGGTGCCGAGGCTGTTTGACGCAGTCATATATAGTTGATATACAGTACCACATCGCAGACTTTGAAGAACATAAGTCTGGGCCGAGGCAGCGTCTAATACTACTTTGGACCATTGACCCTCTTCGAATGAATAATGCAGTGTGTACTCTGAAAGGCAACAACAACAAAGAATATTGGAAGAACGCTATCATGCATATATTGCTGCTTCCAAATTATTCATGCTGTAGATGTCTCTGATGTGTTTGTCCAATGATATTCTGCTACGACTACTAGGCCTTGATTATACTTAGATGCGCTCTGCAGGCCTAACGCTAGCAAAGTGGTATTCTCAACTCAAAATTCATCAAACCCATTCGGATGCGCTAGATAGCCGACGTGCAAGGGCCGTGTCAAGACTGATAATATAACAAAGTTCAAAGCGGACTCGTGAAGTGAAATAAACAGAAATATACTGCAAATATAAGTTGCTAAAGAGATGATCTGTGCTTTAATAAATGTAATATTAGCAACAACTTCGAAGACTTACCTGTGACCTGGCCGTTATTGTCTTTTGGACTTAGTTCCCAGCTAACTCGGAGGGCAGATATTGAAACTGGGCTCACGCGGATTGACGGAGATGTTGGAGGAGCTGAAAAGCATTTTTTTAATTAGTATTCCTCTAACAGAGGTTTAATTTCTTTGGACTACCCAGGTATAAACTCAAGGGAGCCGAAGAGTGGCTTCATTTTTTCAGTTAAATGTTCCCCAGTTCAGCTGTATTTGTTCAGTTTCAGTTGAGTACTTATCATTAATGTGAAACGTTCCATAATATATAGACTAATTATTTTTTAATAAGGAGCATTTGCCTTTATCACGCCCCTCATAGAGTTAACATCTAGTTCTGTCCATTCTTTGTGTAGTCTTGTCTCGACGGTAGTCGTTGTAAAAGCAATATTAGCTGTACGCATTGCCTAATGCTACCGCTTAAAGACGCGACCAGACGAACGGGATAGGACATAGAAAAAAGTAAAGCTCTCTGGGGCTGCCCCTAGGAGCAGATGATATCTGTCAGAGTACATCAGTATCGGCGGCAAGGGTCGACTCGAATGAGCTAGATTGAATGGCTGCCTGGGACGGAAGCCAGTCGCAGCAGTAATCGCAGCCGCAGCAAGCACTACGAGTGGTAATAGTAGCGAGGCAAGAGCCACTACTAGCGCTACTACATTACTGATCTTCTTTTTACGCTGGACGGACCGTTCGGTTGTTGGGAGATGCGACGACTGGTGGAAGAACGAGATGGCTTGGTCGCTGGCTGCGGATGACGGCAAGGGTCATTGGAATAAAAGGAAAAGATCTGCGGCTCCTAACGCCGATGCGGACGAGAAGGAAAAAGAAGAAGGATAATGCTTAAGTCTGGAATTACACGGCTCATTGCGCTTCTTGCCGCTGATCGCGCCACTGCCGTCAGCTTATGCCGCCGTTACTACGACTAATAGTGGCAGGCGGCTAGTGAATCTGCTTGCAGTAGTCGTGGACGGTCGGTCACTACCGCTGCTTGTGGCAATGGCGCTGACGGTGCGAGTTGCGAACATCCGTAGACAAACTGGCCGGCTAGTTACGAGTGGAAAGAGAAAGGCAGATCTCAATGGCGTTGAGTTCCTTAGGGCGACCATCTCGCTGTCGGGCTGTCCGCTTGCCTCCGCCTTCACCGCATTAAGGTCGCTTTTACCTTTCACGTTTTTTAGCAGCAGAAGGAGCCACAGCACTGGGAGAGGCTAAGTCAAGTCGATGGATCTTTGCTTGCTTGGTCGTGGCAGTTGTCTGCCAATTTAGCGTTCTTGTGTGTCAGTAGAGCTCTTATCGTTTCCTTCATTCCGTTTCGTACGTGCGCGTATGTTCGGCATTCCTACATAGTTATGAAAAAAGAAGAAGAACGGAGAATTCACTACAGGTTGAACTAATAATAGGCAGCGTGTAAGTGGTGGTCGATTCCACACTTAACACCCGTACTCGCGTGGATAGTTCAGCTGAGTCCCGAACGAGTTCGCTCAAAGTGAGCGCTAAGGATGATTACAACTTTTCAATAATCTTCTTTACTTTTCAGTCACACGTTCGTGTCACGTAATACAATACAAGCGCAGGTGTATATATATAGATGTTACTCTAGACTTTGCTTTCTTATTTGTTTTAAAGAAATGATTGCGTTCATCACATTCTGGTCCATTTTAGTATTCGTTCGCCCGAGTCTAGGCCGAGTGCACGAATGAGCAAGGGGTAGTACGTTACGATTAAGTAAAAGAAAGTGTGATATCTATTTTGACTCATCTTTCGCTAAGGCAAACACGTTAAACTACGCAGGTTCCTATCGTTCGGTTCATACTAGGGTGTTATGAGAACCAGGGCCTAAACCGCTAGGTATTCTCAATGCAGTTTCTAGCAATATTTTTTTGCACCGGCCAAGTATATCCTAAGCTCTTAATTTCATTGTGGCTGAGAGGCGCAAAGCAATGTATCTTGCAAACACTTGAATAAACTGACTTATACTATGTATACGGTCGTTATGTGCTTCTTAATGCTAACAGTTTTACTACACTTTGGTACGGCCTTGGTTGTTTCGTTCTTCTCAACCTGCAAATGTGTACTTCGATGTTTACCTTACTGGATTTCGAAAACCAAAAGGTTTTCGATTTTGTATTTATGGACTTTAATATTTGGCCTGGTTTTTCCATTTCCTGCAGCTGACAAGGCTAGACAATGACATGAGGCCATAACGCGTATTGCTGATATAGAAAACACTGTATAGCTTTACACCTTATCAACACACATTTGTTCTATGGCTATTTAGATTCGCAATATGAATGCGTGCAGAACACCCAAAATGAAGGTCTTAGAATTGTTTGGAATGACGAGAAACGATACGCAGCTAATTCTACTTCGTTATGTAATTAACTAGAGTTACGCAATCGTAGAATAAATGTTTGGAAAAAAAAGAGGGCATGTATATTATCTGCGGATAATTTATGTGGTAAATAATAAAATTTATAAAATGCGATGCGGAAGAAGGTGTACAAAGACAATTTTTGTCAAAAATGCAGCTCCCTAAGCGATAAATTCAAAATGGGCCAGTCTGGACGATAGACTTGGCTAAGTGTGCAGCTGCGTTAGGGTAAATAAGACAAAATAATCTACACTTCATAAGTGGCATGCCTTGCATGATGGTGTATTCCACATTCGCTCTATTTACCAACTGACTAAGACGCTCGACTGGCTGGGACGCTGTAAGTGTCTGGCACTGATTTGCGCAGTAGGCGGCTTTCACGACACAAAAAGAAAGCGTTAAAACAATAGAAGAAAGGTATTCCAATACGGTTTTCGGGTTAAGTTCAACTCCGGGCAAAAGCAAAAACAATGGTTAATGCCCGAAGAGCAAACGTCCTGAGATTGCAGAATATAGAAGTGAGATGTTGGAATCGTCTTTGGACTTAGTGACTAAGGGACGAAGAGCTATTGGAGACAATGGAAAGAAGAAAGGAAGCAAAAGTCTCCACTTTGTTTTTCTTCTTTCTCTCGTGCGCTCTCACTCTGTCTCTCTCTATTTTTCTCTTGCTTGCCTCCCTTTAGTTCTCTTCTTATTTCAGCCTTGTCTCGACTCCATTCCTGTACAAGGAAACCCATTCAGAGGAGTAGAAGCGAGATCCGGAAGCCGAGCAAAATGAAGGAGGACGATGGCTTCAGTAGCGGCAATCACAAATGCGATGGAGACGGGGTCACAGCATCTGCGGCAGCGGCAGCATCAGCAAAGGAAATGACCTCACCACCAAGGACCACTGAACAGTCATTAGAATCAAGAAAAAGCCCCTATACCGACAGACGCACCGGCGCGCATCGAACGACAACCTAATGTTCCCTTACCCGCTTTGGACCCCTGGGGTGCTAGATCCCATTGGCTCCCACTTTCAATACTTCACCTTAAACTGTTCTGTTTTTTCGTTTCCCTTCGGCCCTTTCAGGCTAGCGAGCTCGCGCGCCGGCGGCCGCCGCTGCTGCTCTGAAAGTAACGAGAGTAGAGACAGAAAAGTGAAAGGACAAGGACAATATATCGCCTCTAAATGATGAAAGCAACTGAGACCGAGGGCAGGAAAAAAGAGTAAACCGCGAGAACAACCGCTCGCCGAACGAACAAGCTAGTCGCGCGTCTTATCGTTATCTGCAGGGAAACAGGCTGCCGCCAAGTGCCCGTCAATGAGAAACGTTCTGCTTCCAATCGACCGTTTCACCACCACTTGCTGTAAAAGCGAGAACACCACTCGTTTAACATAATAGTAAGAATGCCAGCTACACGGAACAACGGTAGTAGCACGGCTGGACTGTTACCGCCATCAACTGACGCATAGAATTTTAGTCTGGGCTTTGGCTCAGATGCTATAGGAAAAACAGCGATACCTAACTCCCTTACACATTAAAACAAAAACTGTTTTTTTTCTAATTCAGGTTAAATGTGGTACTTACTTGTACTTACTTAGAAACATCCATCATCTATCTAGCGCATCTATCTTGAGATATTATAAAGAAGTCGGACTAGTAATTCATCTAGGTAGAAGAAGACCTGTCGCTTACATGTTTCTAAGGTTGCAGCAATAACTTCATCTGAGGCAGGGCCTGCACCAGCTCTGTTATAAGCTTGGACAACAATTGCGTATTTCGTCATTCGTTGCAGGTTTGTGAGGTAGGTTGTATCAACGGGAGGCTCGACCTGCTTGAACGAATAGCTGCCTTCTGTGTACGCAATACGATATCCCACCCGGTAGCCTATAGACGTCATCATGACATTAACCATTAGATATTGCTTCATATCGAATACTCTGGTTTCGAACTTTAAAGACCTTAACAAAAACGAGCTTGCCGAGGGTGGACATTACTATAGGAAGTATGAACCCAAATATAAGTTTGTTGCTTAATACAGAAGGGAAACAGTCACACTGCGTTATCAATCACGATCTTCCTAACCTTTGATGACCCCGTTTTGTTGCTCCTTTGGGGGCGCTTTCCAAGACACCTTTAAGGATTGGGAACCTGTTGTATGGACGCTCACGCTAGACGGTGCAGCACTCGGAGCTGAAATTAAAATTACACATCTTTAAATATATTTATCTAATACTTTGCTTCAACGAATACCAAGCCTCTAGTGCCGCTATCATATAAATAATAAATACTGGCAAGCTTAGCGGAATTTTTTTGAAAGTATTCAAGCCGATTCTCGAATATTGATTTAGGCGTTACGCACGTATACGGCTATATTGAAAGCATGTAAGAATAGACTGGGTAGTACTCTTTACAATGTCCAATAATGTGCAGACATACCCTCTTCGCTTGTTGCGAGGGCAGCGGTTGTACTGTGTGGCCCGTTACCTAGGGCGTTGACGGCACTCATACGAATCTCGTAATGGGTGACAGGTTGCAGATTACTTAACCTCGTCTGATGGTTGTCACCGCCAGCAACCACTACTTTGTGTACCTATTCAGACCATCAACCGGAAAAGCATCCCCTTGGACATAAGTATTTAGTAATGGAAAAGCTATTGCTTATTTTACACCAGTACCTCATTAAATTAGTATTTTGATTCTCAGGTTGAACCCTATGTTCAATAGATATGCATGATCCGGAGCCATTGAGCTTTAATTACGTACCAATAGCAGACAACATTTGGTATATATTTACATGGTGCACCTTTTGTGTACAACTTTAATATGGTCGAGAACAGCTGATGATAACAAGTTTAAAGATCGTTTAATGATCTAAAAATCAAAATCCAGTGATTGACTCTATTTCGCGCTGGCGAAAGCCATCAAAGATTGAAGTCAACACTGGAAAAGGCGATTCCCAGCAAAGCAACAGGTCATTATTGGTGAGATGAACGGAAATTCGGAGGTTAAAAATATTAAAAGAGGTCACTACACTTGACGGCCTTAAACGGAAGAACAAGTTTGCGCGATTTCGGAAATTTTTAAAAAAACACAGCACGCACAATGCTTTCGCTATCAGTTCAGTATCGGATACGTCATATGCTTCAGCATGTACTATGAAACCGCAGCAAAAGCACTGAAGATAAAGAAAAATGAAGAAAGCAACAAACTGATTCCTAATCCAGAAACAGATCGGCTTTACTCTAAGAGCAATATTATTATTAGCAAAAAACCTGATTAGGGCACACCATGGCCATATGCGAGACACTGGGTAGGTTGTGTCTCTCAGTGCAAAAGGCTGAGGTGAAGGGATGGCGTACAATAGGAAAGAAAGTTATGTCGATGCGATTCGACCGTAAACTGGTGCTCATAATTACGAGATAGTACCTGAAAAAAATGCCCAATGCTAGCACATATCTCGAATTTCTGAGGCGGCCCATGGATGTGTGGCATGGTAATTGGTAGCACCCAATAGATTTACTGAACAACAAAACACTACCTCATTGCCACGCTTCGGTAACGGCGTGGATTGAGGAAAACATAATCGAGCAATAGCTTTAACCACTGTATGCTCCAGATTAAGATCCAAATTGTCATTTCAATTGCTTTCATATTTTCCGTATTCTACTGTACTATCAATAACGAGATCAGGTATAATAATACAAATCACAAGTACACCGTTGTCTTGGGCATTGGCTCCAATATGTAGACAATAAAGCAAAACACATATTACAATATTGTGGTCCCAACTTACATGGTTCAAGTTTTTCAACTTACTAAATAGCTCCTGACAATATAGTAATAAATACGTTCATGTTTTGGTAACGCTTTGTTGCAAATGTTTTTTCTTGATGTCCAGAAACGTACAGCGGTGACACTTAGGTTTCAACTTAATGTCACTGAAGTTCAGTCTGACCTCGACTATTCAAAGAATTTGGCGGCAAATTTCTCATTACTTGAACCGGCAATTTACCTAATGCTTTTACCTATGGAGGATATCTTTAAGTCGAATTTTTGCTACACTCGTATAGATGTATTATATAATTGTCTAATCTGATATAATACATGCACTACTTAGACGGCACAGCATTAGCACTATATACAAGTGCTGCCAGTAATAGTGCTTATCTTCAAAAACATTTACCCTAATCGAGAACGGATCGAACAATACCTTTGTTGAAGGTCCTTCTGGCCATGTGTCCTTTTTTAGTTTATACTCGATGATGTAGCGTGTTATTACAGAATTCCCGTTGTACGGAATTTGCCAGTGTAGATCTGCGGTCCGTGAAGTTTGGTTACGGACAAGCAAGCTTGTCGGAGCTCCCGGCGGTTCTGTAAAACGTTTTGGTAAGTTGACGTTACTTCTTTTATTACCTTCGCTGGTTGCCTTACACAGGCATAATTATATTTTCTAGATAGATTTATACGTTATGGCAGCTGGTCGCTTCGCTGTGGCTCGTATCCAGTAGTTTTATTTAATGAGACTGCATGTTATGGTGGTCCACGTAAAATACTCGGAAAGCACTCGTTCGAAAATCAAAGTCGTCACAGCCCTGGGTTTCAAGTTTTACGTCCGGTATTGCTGTTTAGCATTCCATTAGACGGTTGGTTCCTACCACGAAACGAAGTCTGTCGATGCCCGGGTTCGAATCGAAATCACAAGACGTCCCTAAGATTATCAGGTAAATACGTTGCTTGCTAAGCTAAAGTGTGATAGAGCTACGTAACTGTTGAGGTTCCTCAAAAGCACTTCCCAGAAGAAGCTATGCCTTCAAGGCTTTTTGTAAATGGTTTACTTACCTGGGACTAAGGAAGCTATTGTTACACACGTGAATACTTTAATGATAAAAGTTGAATCGGATCCACCGAATTATTAATAAATAACGATGTTACTTACAAGTGAACTGTGCGGATTAAATCTTAGTACTTCTGTTCGTGAAAACTTAAACTAAATTGTAACTAGCAATCTAGAAATCAGGACTGGAAGATAAAGCAAAAAGCCAATAAATATACCCAAAGGTCGTGGATGTTAAAGTTGTAGCCAGATAAGATGGCGTAGCATTCGACATATTTATTTTTAATTTGTTAAGTTCACACTATATATAAGATAATTAATGTAATATAAGAGAAACATCTATGCTTCCGGAGATAAGTGAAAAGGACTACTGATATTATGAAGTTAAAGCTATTTAAAAATAGTGTTATGTGTGCAATATATGTGCAATTTGCCTTGGATAACTGTGGTTTCCGTTAGATTTTATCGCAACGGGTTCAATAATATAAATTACATTATAAACAGTTATTACTAGTCATGCTCAACAGGAAACTAGATAGTATTTTCGGGCTATGTGCAAGGGATGCAGACTACTAACGGCCTTTTTTTAATCTTGAAACCTTTTAGGCAGTTGTGCAGGCGCTGACAACAAGTAAACCGAACTTTTACTTGATTGTCGATCACTTGACTTCGGATGTAATCTATGTTTACATCACACCCTCAATCTATCACCGGCGTACATTGGCCTGCATAGAACCGTTTCAGCCAGGCGCTCGCGTGTCTCGTTAGTGTAGTTCGCTATGAACGCCGGCAATAAAGTGATGAATGCTGCCAACCGTTATGACGAAACACTCATCGGTCAAACAAAACAACGCAAATGAAGAATTGGGAATGCAGTGGATGGGAAAGCTTTACAAGCATTTTGCAAGTAGTTCCGAAAACAGGTCAACAGTCAGTGTCTCAGCCTCGAGCAGAGTTTTGTTGAATCGATGCACACAAGGATTATCCATTAGCTACAACTAAGCTCTTACGCTTGACAGACAGTCCGGCCCTTCACATCAGCAGAGCTGACTATAACCTTTCGCCTGCTTTTGGTCCGTGTGCGGGCCATACTTTCCAAAATATGGCACCCTCCTACAGCGAAACGCTTCGGGAAATAACCATTAACAGACCCAGCTGCTCCTTTTGCGCTATATACTCTTAGGAGCCGCTGATAACTGCTGACATCGGGAACTCGCCACCACGGAACGAGGTATGAAGTTACCGGTCACATACAGCAGGAAGACGCACAGCAGTCGTTGCAGTCTGGAACCGCCCTGTGTGCAAATGCGACATTGAGACGTTCTCCTGTCCTGCGCTCTCTAACCACGTGCAGGCCAACCCTGCTGTGGGTACCCCGGACCTCCTATTAGATGCGTGCATATATAAACCAGACCTCTTCCTCTCGTTGCATTACGGTGTGTTTGTGTGCCAGCATCCAGCTACTCCATCGTTGGATCCAATGGATAGCAGGCACTGTTGGCAGTTCATACCCGTACATGCGGGCGACGCTTCTGCCGCTGAAATTATTCTGTACTCGTCCTTTTCAGCCTCTAGCAGGCGCTCTCTCCGAAATGCATGAAGAGGTGAACACGCCCGACCTAACGGCCGGCAACTGATCTGGTCCCTCTCCCCAGAGTCCGCTCAAAGGCGTGAAGATGGGAAGCATGAACGCTAGACCCTGTAAGCCAAGGTGGCTGACTGTTTGGCTAATGAAAAGTGCATTAACTTTTCCCGACGATGACCCCGGAGTTGATCATGCACGCACACCTGCTCTCTGTTCTAACGACAGGCACTGAAACGTCGAAACATCGGGCAGTGGCAACATGGGAACATGGAACGCCGACCCGGCAAACACTTTTAGCAGAACAGGGAAGGAGAAATAGGAAGCAATGTGGAATATCAGTCCGGCTTCGGCCGTCGTCATCATCGCCGCCGACCAATTCCCCAGACTCACATCCACCAACCATATGCACGATGACACCTAACACCCCTCCTAATGGGCAACGATAACCGCTCAGTGGCATATTGTCAAAGGATTAACGGGGTCATCCATGGTGTCGTTATAGGAGACGTCCGACATTTTTTTTTCGCGTGTCTACACGCAACGTAAGAGCGGCTTGTAGGTCGTCACCAAGACAGCAACGACATTAGCTCACTGACGTTCAAATTCGTCGGATTATGTAGTACTGCCGGCGTACACACTATAATAGATTTTGTTATCGTGGCGCTATTTTATTATTAAGCTCTAAAAAAGCAAACTCTTAGTTTGTTCTCTAATACGTTTCTGCGCAAGAAATGATTCGTCCCTTTGCCGACGCCTGTATTACCGATTTTTCCATCGTTCGAAGCTAAGCGGCCAAGGATGTCACAGCAATAGAGGAGCTACCTTGTACGACGAGCTGTATAAGCGCTGTTTCCTGTCCATAGTTGTTATGCGCACGGCAAGAGAACATGGCCGAGTCCTCTCTGCTCGCTGCACTAATAAACAACGCGCTTTTCGTCTCTTTTGTTTCCACAACGTAACGCGACTCGTTAAGAGCTGCCGCCTGGTTCTTCTCCCACACATAATGCATTGGCCGATCGCCGGAAGCGGCACATTCGAGGGTTACCCCTTGTCCCTATGCAACATGAAACGAACAAAAGAAATTAGAGATTCTGGAAAAGTTATTACTAGTCTTATTATAATGAAACAAATATATTATTACTGTTTATTCACTCGTACGCTCACTAGATACTACCAATGCCAAACGCATTGTCCAGACTACAATAATGTTCATAGGTTTAAAGTCCAGCAGCAACAACGCTCCTAACACGTTTTAAAGTAAAACTTGTCATCTAGTCAGACGGTTAACTTACAACTATGTCTACGGAGGCAGTAATTATATTCAAGATCGCACAGAATAGAAACGATCGCTACGGCTGTCGCGGTTGTCAATGTATCATTGTGTTAGCGGCGAACATTTGTAAGGAAAAAACGTTTCAGTATGAACGTCTTTTCTTCGATCATTTGCTGATTACGAACAGTAGCCTTTGAATAGACGTCGCGTATGACGGAGTCTACGCTAGAGTCACAATCACAGTAAAGCTTTGTTTAGAGATACTATCTGAAAAGGTAGTTAATGGGTACGAACCTTTGCCACGTTGTACGATCGATGCTTCGTATCAAAGTGCGGAGGGACGTGTACGGTCAGATACACGAGTTTTGATATACCTGCTCCGATACCGTTGTGAGCTTCACACAAGTAATACCCTTGGTCAGCCTCCTCTAATTCGCGAATAAGCAGAGAGCCATTTATCAAGTGGTGATTACGAAAATTGTAGTGAATGTAGCTGAAATTCCGCGGTTCAACGCCTACAAATTGAAAGTTAAAGAAATCTTTAACGCTTATTCATTTGAGCTTAGAACTTATTATTAATGACGTTGGTACAGGAAGCACGTTAAGCTGCGGCATCTCTACCGAATATGCCTTATCGTTAGTGGCTCGCGTTCGATGAATTTATGGGCCTCAATGGAAGACCATATGAAAAATAGAGTAAAAATAAATCATCATAATAGCTATAGCAGTGACAATAAGAAAACGCTGATAATGAACTAATAAAAAAAAAAAAACGAATTAATTAAAACGGGGTAAGCTGTTTAAGATGGGGGAAAGGGAGCTGTTTTAATGAAGAGTCAGCGGGAAGACAATCTAGCCCACTCATGAAGTAGGAAGTAGTGGATAACACAATTTCTAAATAAATGGAACAAAAAAAGAGACTCAAAGGGAGAAATTTAAGTGATAGGAAGTCCCTCCTTTGTTTTAGTGATGGGTAACGGAGATAAAAAATGAGGAGCGTGAGCGATGCACGAGAACGTAGCGTGTGGAGGGAATGACAACACTGGAAGGGTTGATGCAGTAGGAACTTCAGGTAAACTGATTTTAGCCATGTTTCCGACTGATCGACTGACTGCCTAACGAATCACAGGAATCTGCGTTTCGGAGGCCGTGGGGGGAACGGGGCACGGCGAGGGGCAACGGAAACGCAGCTTATGCTGCTGTTGTTGTTAGCCTTCACATCGAATTCACCAACAACATCAAAAGACGGCAGGAAGGAAGGTGGGGCCCAGAAAACGGCATTTGCTCTCAGCATTGGTTTTGGCTTGGCCCAATTTCAATTTAATTTCATTTGAGGCGTATTTTTAAAACAATTTCCAGTTCTCTCTAAATGAGTCTCTGCTACCCTTACAATCGATATCGCATTATGTATTTTACGATGAATTATACGCTTATCTCGTATTTCCTTAGTGACCATATTCACCTAATTCACGCAAGACGAAAAAAATGTTCAATTGTCCGATTTTTATTATGGTTACAATTAATCTAAGCACCTCACACGCTTCGCAAAATAATGTGCGGTAGTAATATTACGAATCTGCAGTTTCGCGCTCATCTCTCAAACAGCCTGTGGGTCCTTCTTTGTTCAATACTTTGATAAATGAGTGACTAACCTTCAACGAAGAACATCAAGCTTTCACCCACCTAGCTTTATCTTATTCAGGACTATATTTCTTTGTAATGAAATGTCTATCCTAAAACACCTTGCTATACTTTAGCCTTCTTCTTCTTCTGCTTCTTCTAGCCAATTACTCTATAACCATTGGCTTTTCATGAGCTGCAACTGTCAAATCGATCAGGTCTTGTCCAGCCTATAATATCTGCATACAAACCTGGATCTTCACCCGGCAGAGTGTTTTGTTCAGCAAAAGACTGTTGATATTGTAATCCAACCATTAAGGCGAAAATCTTGTTTTATGCTAATCAGGCAAACTGTAATACTACTTCCTTCGTCTCCCCCCCCCCCCCCCCCGTACAGTTTACTTATATTGTTATCAAACTGTTTCCCCTTCTCCCTTTGTACAGGGTGTCCATGGGATAACAGAGATTAATTCAAAAAGTTGAAGGGCGATGAAAGAATATGCCCCAAATATGTTTTTACGATCATCTTACCGCCACCCTCTATATAATCTGTTCTGCTGCTGAACGTATACTGATAATTTGTTGAACTTTATAATTAGGCCCTCTTTCTCGGAACTACAGCCTACTTACCCACTCCTTTTTTCCAAGTTACGCTAGGCGCAGGAAACCCATCGCATGAACAATGAAGGATCGCGCTTTGGCCGATAACTGCGGAGGCATTTCGTGGTTCGACCTTCCACCGTGGCGCAACGGAGACAATAAGTTCCACTGTTCTACTAACGGAGGCAGCATCGTTGCTTACAAAACAGGTATACATTCCTTTATCCGAGAATTTAACTCGTTGAAACTTAATGATAGAAGAATCTTCGTTGGACTCGATTTGGCGATCAGCGTTGTTGCGCATCTGCAGTCCATTTTTCAACCAGCGAAATCTGCCAAAGAGATTACTATTATAGCGAAGCACCAAACAAAAAGCCTCCCTGGAAGAGGCTCATTATTTTATTAACGTCATATTTAGTAGCTGTACAAGTTAGATTCTAAGGTAGTACTTATCAGTAATTGTCGTACGGTCGTACGTACCGTAATGGAGGATCCCCTTTGGAGACGGAACACATTAGCCTCGAACGAGTCCCTTCCTCCACTTTAATGATGTCAGGGAAGAAATGGTCATCGATTTGGGGAGCCACTGAAATGAATTGAAGGCACTTAAAAGATGTACGAATCTGTATGCGACTTGACCCGTCACGAGGATAAAACGCACGATCTGAGACAATGGTTGCATTCTGTGCTCGTGTGTACTTCTTTTTTTATCACCCGTTGCTAAGGGCTACCTTCAAAGAAACTTACATAATGGAAAACTACCGTATCAATTATCTAACATTTAAGCAGTTAGAAATTAGAAGCAACATTATCAACGAAATAAGACGGTATGTTTACCTAAAGCTATACGATTTTATAGCTTTGCTGCCTTTCAACTTGCTGATATCACTTAATAATCTATCTATAAACACTAAATGACGAATCATCAGCCAACTATCATATACAACTTGATTATTTAATTTTTCATTGCTTTCGACATCGTGTTCAGAAGGCCCACATATGACAATAGTGACACGTGCCGCGTTAGCTCAAGCATGCCCAGGTACATCAGAAACAACACCAAGTCCGCTGTGCGTGATCGACACGACTAAACATTAGATAATCGTTTTAAGATACATACATAGGTATAACACATGACTAACCTTACAGTAGTCGACATATAGAAAGAGCTATTAGGTACGACGATTCTAGGCATCTTCAGTAGAAATTTACCCATGCGAATACGTGTTTTCCCTCACACGCTTACAAGATCTGGACACAAACATTTCTTGGAAAAACGAAGCCCAGATTTCGTTGTAAATCACAGCAGGGCTCTGCTGCGTTTACTCCTAAAGTTAAATTGGTCCTGGCAAGAATCAATACTTAGAGCAAAGGCGATCTTCTGGGTCGCGTCCTCCTAGTGCTGCCGCGAACAAATTTCTGCAAAACAGTGGAGCAGCAGTAGCAGCAAAGGCACCAGCGAGAAGAGACGGTACCGCTTTCATCGCTTTTCGTTGTGCCTCCATCCTCTTCGACCCCCATACCGTAAGTTTCCTTAATTTGTTGGTCGGTCGGAAAAATAGGCTGAAATTTGTCAGTAGGAAATGCTGCGTGTCCTATGGATACTTTTTTGACGCTGCCTTTACTATTGCTATCAGCAGTCGTGCCGGTGGCCTTGGACCGTTGCTTGTTTGCTTGCTCGACTGAGTGGGAAAAGCCGGAAGGCCGACTGTCCCAAAGGCAGTCAGTCAGCTTATACTGCTGTACTCCGCAACAGCAGTACTCTAATGGTGTCATTTTAACTATTTTTTAAACCGGACAAGCATTACATTTAGGCCATAGTGCGTTTCGCGCATCATGGCCGAGAGTGGAGCGATAAATAGAAGTGAGCGAAGCTAAGGAGCAACGAGAGAACATGAGAACGACAAAGAGCCAGCAAAGTTGCCTCCGGCGATGCAGACGGTGGTTTTCCTTCGTTAGCCCGTTCGTTCGTTTTCACGTCCGCTGTCTGCGTACCGGCGGCAGGCTGGTAACCGACTTACAGCTGAGTTACGCTGCAGTGGTAACGAACGAGGTGAAGACGAAAAAAACGGGAAGAACTTTGGCGAACCGCTGAGAATGAAGCAAACGGAAGCGGTAGCAGCGGAATTTGGAACGAGGGTTAAGCCAAAGACAGACAAGCAGGCGGACATACGCGACGTCGAAGGACAGCGCAAGGTAAACCCCCACCCGGATCGTGTGAGCTAGCTACTGGAGGTGGCTGCCGGTAAAAGCAGCAGTTTTTTTTATTATCGGAGCTTCAGAGACAGATGCAAGTGGAAAATCGGGATATGGAAAAAGGCCAGGAAACAAGCCTGAACATTTTCTATTCAGATTGATGCTCTCCGTCGGCCGATCTTGCTTTGCCCCATGCCACACTATGCGTGCCACTGAGTGGCGCTGTGAAGACGTAGCAATAGCAACTTGAGAGTCGCTGCTGGTGCGTCTTGCCTCTGGCTGAGCGGCCGAGTGCCGGCCAATACGGACTGAGAAACGGAGGGAACATCTAGACTGGTGTTTGGTGTTTTCTGATCTTCAAGATGCAGGCAACACCCAAAGTAGCAGCTCGTTTTTTTCTCGTGCTTGCCTCTTCATCCTGACATTGACCTATATTCTTACTAGTGGCGTATCCACATATCCCATATGTACATACGGCATCATTCTTCACTGCATCATTACTTGACTCAGATGCTGCAGTTCCCCACAGACAGCCGCATTAATGTGGTAACAGAATCAACGAGCGAGAGCTCTACATATAGGTAGGAGACAGTGCCAATAGACCTTTTTTTCATCTTTATTCTCAACGCCCCCGTCGTGCGTCACCCATCAGAATTGATCTGGGTAGTATGCGATGTAAAGCCCACCGCCATCTAAAGCTTTGTGTAACACTATATATCCTCGTAGCCAACCATGAAAGGCAATATCTGGCATACCGAAAAGGAAGACTAAATAACTGTATCAGTAATCGCATCCTACACCAACATAGTTAGGTCGCCGTTAGATAATGGGGGGTTTGTTTTTGATTTGATACGCTGCCACATATATAGAACGAACATAGCACAATGGGTAACGGCAACGGTAGTCGCGTGGCAGCATCAAAGGCCAGGGCGACAACCCGTTCAGAATTTCAAATAGATCTCCATCGAGTTCATTCGTCGGCAGCCTGGCCGAGTCAGTCTCGAATCGGCCTTCGAGAGCATGTAGGACGCGGGTATTGGGAGTTCTGAACAGTAGTAGTGAAAGATGGCCCTATGGGGGATTTTTAGGGTGAACTGGATATGGAGCATGCTGTACAAATGCGGCAAGGGCGGACGACACGTCCAATCGTCCCATAGCAGCAGCCGCCCTCCTACCCCCCGGCAGCGGTAGCTCCTAGCTGTGACGGCTGCGGGTTTTCCGTGTTCATCTTACAATGCCGAAGACTTGAAAAAGCCAACGTACGCCGCCTTCTGCGCGGGCAGACAACACCGCGCTATAGTGCTAGCGTCTTTACAGTCGTATAGCATCAACCATACCCAAGCAACGAATCTAAGGAAAGTGCATCGTCGTCGTCGTCATCATCATCGGAAACAGCAGCAGCAGCAGCAGCAGCAGCAGCAGTAGCAGCAAAACTAAGGACGAAGCCCTTTCAGTAGGTAACTCGCTAGCTGCTGTTGGGGCTATGGCATGTATGGGTGCCATTTGTCCCGTCCGAGGCCCTCTTCTCGACCACTACTACTGCGTTTAGGCGGGGAGGAGAGAGTTGCTGCGCTCTCTTAGTTCAAACGAAGGAAAAGACCAACGAGTTAGAAAAAGAAGGCGAAGGAGCGAACGAAGATATACAAAAAACAGCCAAAAAAGAGAGAAAAAGGGGCCAGAGGCAACGACGAAAAGAAGGGGCAGGAAAGCCAGCTTGGCTCGGTAGGACGAAGCAGCCCGGCTGAAGCCGGGGGACGAGGTGAGAGGGGGAAGAGAGAAAGAAAGAGAAGATCGGCGAGCGAATTTTGTTCTTTTTTGGGCTGGCTTTACAACCGATTGGGTTGCCACTACTAGCGCCGCCGACTCGTGGCTATCGAAGAGGAGACAGGCAGCCCTTTCCCACGTGATGTCTTCTGATATTCTCAATACCGAAAACGGCGTTAGCCCGGTATTCGTTCCTTTGCCCTTTACGGACCCGCCCTGGAGCCTCGATCCGTCGGCTTTCGCGCCCCGCACATTACTTTCCATAAAGCAAGCTCGCTACAGTTATATGTGCTGCGCTATTACTATAGAAAAACAAAGATCTCTACACGCATACAGAGATTTCTGTGGAGCAACTATATTAGGCCAATGCGTCAGCCTTTGAAAATGTTAAGGAACTGATTAACATGCTAGGTTGTTTTTTTTCTAAAGAAAGTAGGCACGAACGACGAAGCACCGGGTGTGTTCGCTACGAATATTTTCTATGAATATTAGGTCTAATTAAAAAATAAACTTAATTAAAATAATACTGTAAACAAACGAAAAAAGTATGACACGGTTGCTTTATGAGAACTAGGCCAGTGAAAAACAATGCCTGAAAATACGCACCAACTACAGAAATGTATGTAGTAGCGGTGGATGAATCTCGATCCCGCCCACCTTGAATTGTGCAAGTGTATTCTCCTTCATCGTTGGGTTTATGAGTTTGGCGAACATGGAGCACGCCTTTGTTGTCGACTGATTGGCGATAGTTGACTGGTAGCACCATGCCACCTGTGAAAGAAACCCATAGTTTTGCTTCATTTCGAAACACAACACGGTTCCGACACTATAACTATCAATACTCTAGCTATAGAACTTATATGCTCAATAGACCCGAAAAGGATTTTCAACTCCATATAAAATAAAGGCAAAGTATTTAAATCGTAATATTTTTCGCTTTCGTTGCTCCTTAAACAAATGGCTCAAGCTAATTACTATCTAGTTGGCAGGGCCGGGTGTCTTCAATCAACGGAAAGCATTCCAGCTTAGAAAGTATAGCTTGTAAATATTCCTGAGGACATAATAGCGTGCCTGCATCTATATATAGACTGATTCTTCAGTAACGTTTCGTCAGTCTAATCTGTCATAATAATCCAATTGGTTGCAGGATAAATTGTGGTAGCTCGTGGCAAAATCTTGCCGGAAGAGCAAAGCTACCGTTCCCGTATTAAGGCGGAACTTTCCGGTTAATATTCTATCGGATTGTTAGGCAGGAGCGAAGCTGCATTTCATGTTATATCTATGCTTTCTTTCTAGTAGGCTTCACTATAAAATGATTTTGATTATTTACATAGATCGGAAAATATCTTCAGTTCATCTGGCAGGGCCTTTTGAGAGCCTTGAGGAGAACTTTTTGAAAGGAAGAAAAAGTTCGACACCGGCTACGAATGTTCTTTGAGCAATGTGTATACAATGTAGGTTTCTTATGCGACATTTAGTCATCTACGAATGAAAAAAGTAGTAGTAAAATCAATATAACATACATATTTTCAAAACGCAATATTGTGAAGGGACAAAAAAAAACGCAATAATTTCACGTAAATTTCTATTTCATGCGCGGGCATTCATACGGTCAGAATAGAGCTGAAAATATTGTATCTGGCCATGATTTGGAGAACTTTTCATACGATACAATCTTAGCTGCTGTCTTTTGTTGGCTAACGTTGGGCGGCGACCTCTCGATAAGCGATGCTTAACTGGTTCACACAACAAAGGGCTAGCATCATTTCCTACGTACGACATCTTAATTACGTTTTTCAGACGAAATACGTATAACAGGCCCAATCGACGAGTGTGACAAAGTTCTAAAAAAGAATGATAATTAAATATTCACATATCACGCTTCGTATATCGTTAGGAGAATACAATTTTAATGTTTTCGCCTGGTTTGGAGTCCGCGAGCCTATCATGTGGCCATTAGGCCCGCAGAGCTTCATTGAAATTAACCGATCACAAGTCACTGAACGTCGTAAACGTCAGAACGACAGACAGGAGTAGCATTTATCATCATGATTCATCGAAACTGCCTCTGGATGTTTGTCAAAGATAAAAATTATAGGAGAAGATCTATTGTAAATACGAAACAACTGTACACATGGAATCATGTGTCAAATCGTCATTTCCGTGCTATTTAGTTGGGTATGAATCTCGAATCTTCAGAGGAATCGAGTTATATTTGTTTGTTGCTAATTCCTTCAAACGCAGAAGGTTAACGATCAACCAACGACATCATGGGAAAGCGGACTTTTATGGTGAAGCGCAGAGGATCGTTAGATACGTATATATTATGCATGGCTTGATCTAATAGGAAGTGTCGAATTTTTTGAGCATTCAATAGGGTGAAGCGTTCCTTGATCCAGGCAAAAATAGAGCGATGAATGTTTTCAAAGATATCGGTAATTCCAGTCGATAATAGCTATCTCAGCAGGAGGGATTCCCATTAATATAAATTCAAAAAAGTCAAAGGGAAATATGTGCATGGGATTCTTCATTTGCCCCTGCAAAAACGCTGAATCTTACTGAGCAGAACGGCCGCGTTGACTATCCGAAGGCCACCCCTGCCTAGGCTTATCAAATTAGCCCCAACACCCATGCTTAAACAGGCACGCACAGCAACATCGAAATGTGCTACATTATATATAGAACCCAATCTGGCTTATTATTCCTGTATTATTCCTAGACATCCTCAAGTACGTGCAGTACATTTTTACGTAGGCGTGAGCCAAATTGTTGTTGTGGGCAACAATTGCCATTACGAGCACGTTTTACTATAAAAATAATTAACCTTTCTAATTTGTCGAATATATAGAAAAAATTTTACATTGGCATCCTCGACAACTGAATTCAGCATTTCGCTAGCTTCATAGACTTGTAGGTGGTATAAAGCGAAGGACTGGTATATACAGCTGCTTTACGACCTCCAACCGTGAAGAAAGAAAAATTTCGAAGTAATTTTGTTCTAAAGACAGCGATGAATTGCTACACCTATTAATGCTAATTCTTTCAATAAATTGACTCTACTACGTGGGCACTCAATAAATCAGTGTACCTGTAACGTGGGACTAACTTATGGCATAGCTCCACATTCTAGCATACAATCTAGCGCCAATGGCAAATGCTATTTTTGAGAATGCCCTGGGTACATGCACTTGTTAGTATTCCTGCACATTGGGGCAGCGTTAATAGACTATTATGCAACGTGCTATTCTATTGCATACATTGCACTGAATGTAGAACGCTTTCTTTTTTGACGGGTAGCTACCGGACAACCGGAGCACCACAAAGAAAGTAGGCCGATGGAACTATCATAGCTATCCGTCGCATTAGTATTTTCTCGAGCAGAGATGGTGTGTATTTAACTCGCGAAAATCGGGTCGTTTCGGTAACTTTCCAAAACAGAAAACACGTTTTCTTTACATGAAGCAACGCACTAAGGTTGGCCCATCGAACTTGATACTAATTTATTAGCGCCGGATAGCCAAGGAACGATTTACCCAGGAGGCTTTAATACCTACAGTCACATCTGGTCTTATTCAGTAGCAATACAGAAAGAACAACTTCTCCAAATAAGCAAGACAGTTCTTTTTAGAAAACATTGAGTAAACAGGGGATACTAGCTTTTTAGCCACGTGATGGGTCCAACTGGATATCCGCCGTAGGGACACTTGATAGCAAGATCGGTGCCTGATACGACAGAAGCATTCCTCATCGGTCGGACAAATGCTTCGCCCTCGATGTTGACGCGAGCTGAATGTTCCACTGCAGTACCAATATCGTTTGAGGCTACACACGTGTATTCGCCGCTGTCCTCAACTCGTGCGTCTGCCACCTATATAAAAAACATTGTATTGTTAGAAACGGTAAAAATATCACAGTCTATATTCTCTTTTGGTTTAGAAACCCTAATTAAAGATCTTTGGATCGTATATTTGAGGCAGTAAGCAGGTGTCCTTTTCCACATTACGACACTAACCACTGCCTTAAAGAGAAACATTGTTCTAACTTAAATCGCTTTAGGTTTAGCTGGTGTATCCTTAGACTGGAGCCTTTTGTTTCTCGAAACTCATACTTCAAGAAGTGAGAACAATTATTTAAGCCTGCAAATAATACCTGCAATACAGCTTCTGTCTCGTGTGCATTTTGCCTCGAGGATATTTTATGCCGCTCACTCTTGTATAGGTGATCACCATCTATTCTCCACGAAACCTCGGGAAGAGGGCTTCCTTTTGCTTTGCATCGGAGCTCAAACGTATCTCCTGGCATCACAAACTTTTCCTCGAAGCCTTCGACCATTGTTGGGCTCATATCTGCAGCACATTTAAAAAATTAGATAAATGCATGGAAACTTCAAAAGAAACTCGTAATTACCCTTAGACATCTTTTGCGGCGCCATTGACACCCAAAATGTTTACCATTGTCAATCTAAACGACGAAAACTACCCACAGAATTACTATTGTCAGTTGACGACGTAATTCTAATATGCTTGCTAGCTTGCATCTATAGTGAGCACAACAAGCTAATTCGCACCGCACTGTTTATATATATTATTGTGGAACATTATTCAAATGAGCTAAGAAGAACGCCCATCACCCGTATCTTTACAGATCACGACGAAGAGCTGAGCTGCTGGAAGGCTTGCCTCTATTCTTCTTATTCCTTTCTACCACGCGCCTTGATACCATCAAAGCGGCATGCGACCGGTAAAAAGAAGCCGCAGCACATGTCCAAGGTCCTTTCTACCGGAGAGGAGAAGAAGCAGGGCAATGGTTAAGGGCATGAGTTCCTTGCCTGCAAGTCGTTCGAACGGCTAGGGTCAAATAATGACTACTGCTAGCGTCAATGATCGTACCGGTTGTCTCCACTGCTTTGAGGATTCACCCGAAGACGATGGTGCTGATTTCCTGTGTACCCATATACCGTTCTGACTTTTAAGGCTATTTGCCTCAATTGGTAAGAGAAGCCGGTTAGGACCATGCGCTGTTGTTCCTATATTTCCTTCTCGTTGACAATGTTCGGTACAGTGGCGACCGAGGCGCTATTGAAATAGGCGCGTCCAATATAACCATTTCTCGCGGTTCGGTCGACAGTTGCAAGCCAACGATTGGACAGACGCAAGCTGCACATCACAATGCTAGCGTCAACCAAGCCACTGCTGATTTTGCTGCCGCAGACGACCTTTCTTTCATCGACATCTGGCAGCTCGCCAAAGGCATTTACCAGGCCATGCGGTGACGACGACAACAATAACGCACGGCGGTTGGGAAGGATAGTTTACACGGCAAAAGCGGGAAAATCGGACAACACAACAACAATGAGAACTCCAAGTGGCTGCCACAGCAAAGCAGTTAACAATTGCCGGCGACGTCCTTAGTGGCATTAAGGATGGGGCTACATACGCATGTCCAGTACTATCGATGAATGTGCTGAACGCTTAAGACCCTGAGTGTTTTACTGTCTATCGTTTAGTACGAAGCACACTTACTACGATATCAAATTTTATCATAGACTATGTACTTGCTTTTGTTCCTACATCGGTAGACACATAATTGCCATTTACCGTTAGCAATAGGCCGCAATGTTCTTTGTCGTAGTATCGTGTATGCTGGACAGCCAGTGTCTATATTATCAGCGTTGGATACGGTTCGTATGTGGAATATGCAAGTTCTAAGTGCCATTGCCAACAGAAAATATTAGACAAACGCAACTCTTTGTCACTGAGTGACAAAGAGTTGCGTTCTCCTATTTACAAGCCTCATCGTTAACCCACGTGGATAATGAATAGACCTGCAGTAATCACTTTCTCTAGCTTCTTATACTTCAAAATATCGAACGTAATTTAGTCATAATGAATAGTTTGGCCGTTTACTAACCATCAAGGCGAAGCAATGCTACTGCTTGGGCCGCGTCTCGATCGTTTTCAGCGAAGCATTGATAAATACCCGCGTCTTCACGCCTTATCGACTGTATCCGTAAGACTCGATCTGAATCCAGCAGTTGGATACGGCCATCGGCTAGCAGTTGTTGCGAGTCCTTGCGCCACGTAACCAACGATACCGGTTGTCCTGCTCGCGAAAAATGCAAAAGCGTATTGTTACCTGAATACTTTATGACTCCTTTTTTAATTGAATTAAATTTTCAACTAGGTAAATATGTAACGATATATTTACCCTAACGACAATTCGTAAGCCACACTAAAATGATGAAAGTAATTCTTCAAGCAGGCGGTACCAATGAGGCCCATCGAACGTCAGCTTCCTATTCCTAAATGTCTATTGACTGTTTGTTGAATCGATTTCAAGCTCCACCACAATATCATACCACTAATTGCCATATGAGCCCATACAACGATAAAACGTTACATTATTATCATAGAAGCGCAAGATCTGCTGCATTAATTTGAATATGTGTCCAATTAAGATCGTGTACTCTACGAAAAACTACAACAGTACATTACCCGATGGGGTACGTTCGGATCATCCTGTATTGCTATAGTCTATTTTGGCTAATGAATGGTAAGAGGATTGATCTCCCCATTGATGTACCCAATCTACTTGAATCGAACTCATGCAGTACCACGTAAGTTATAACTGACAAAAGCATCAAATAATTTTATCTGAGGGGACCACATTCGTTTGTATTCGAAAATCATCAGCTATATTTACTTTAAACTGGGTCTGTTTAATGAAACAGTAACGAAATAGGCTGACCTTCGTCGAGTCCTACCGTATATTTGGTTTTGTGTGTGTCATTAACTTTAGTACTGGTCAGCACCTTGGAGCAAATTGAAACTCATATACTCGGCACGAACTGGTAAAACTGCAAAAAGGCATTTTAGGCCTATCGCATTTCATTCGACTTTTAAAACACAAGTATAACCGGCCAGCTTTCTCGTTATAATGATAAATGGCCTTGACTGGCGTCGCTTCTACTAAAAACTGAGAGCTGCCGGAAGCGATTTGTTTTGTGTTCCACTGCAGAAGCACGCGTACCAACAGTTGCAAAGAATGGTATTATAAATATTATACCATAATATGCCAGTAAATGTTTCATAGTTTAGCCGTACAAGGTACAACCGGAGCCAAGTACATTGTCGTGGGACAGTTCAACGCCAAAAGAACTTAACAAACCTTTTTCCTTGAGGTGTCAAATTGTCAAGATGATCTTCATTCAAACCTATCTGGCAGTGGAACATTTGTGTAAATTATGCAAACGTAATTATATGCAATTTACAGCTTTAATTACAGTCACCAAACAGGTGATTCAATAAGGGTCTGTTGATGTGTATTTCCGGAAGACGTAATAAATGAAGGATGACGTAGTGCTTCCGCCCTTCGGAAGCATTACGTCGTACTTTTATTTCGACAGTACGACTGGCGTAGCTAGTCTTGTCAGATCATAACATAATATTTGCAAAAAGAGCTTATATATGGAATCCGCATTGGCTGCTGACCTATCTTAACCAAAAATATGGTTTCTTAAACGTTCAATGGGCAGTTGCGAACATTACCCTATATATAAGCCAGAAATTAACCTCATCTTCACCGTATATTTTTAACATTGAACACAAGAAGTCTTATGAATCTTTCAGTACCGTTTTAAGTTTGTTCCCGCTAAAAATTCATTTGCCTTAAGAAACAATTCTCTTAGCCCAGTGGACCACTACAACTCTGTCGGTCTGCGTCACTCCCTACAATGAGGTCAAGAGAAAGATTTTCTATAGCGACTGACGTGGACAGCGACGCCTTCAAGAAAATAGAGCAGATCAATAAGCCGTCTTAGTTCTGCGTAGTAACAACGAACAACGCAGTAATATCCTTTGGCGTAATGGTGTTATACGTGTCTAAATTTGAGACCCTTTTATCGAAATGAAAACGTAAAGTTCTACAGCTCTGAAGTGATCGGCTAACTGCTGTGGACTGGAATAACAGAATCGTTATTATGTATGATATGCCTTTTTGTCTGCGATAAGGTTGACAGAGAAAATTCCGACCTCGAGTATTTACTTTTGTTGGAGGTATTTTGTCCTGATAAGTGGCAAACTTACAATGAAACTGGCAGTATTCAGAATACTATTTAAAAAAGTCGTGCACACGTTTGCTTATTGGTAATGGGGCAAATATATATTTTGCGGGCAAATTTTTCGCAATATTTTTGGAAGGTCCTCATGAAATAGTAGAGGCGGGATAGTTATTAACAACATACGATTCAGTTTCTATTTAGTTTGATACTAAAGCTGTAATAAACACCGCTATTCCGATCGGAACCCAAGAAGATCTCGTCTTAGCTAATTTGGCTTAACATCGTCGATGTTGATCCTTATGTGCACACGTTTTACGTTTCTCATATAAATGTTTTTTACGAAGTTTATGAGTGCACCCAATCACTGATATCTTTCACATCCGGTTCAGCCGCAGAGATGCAGGTTTAATGCATGTCTCATTTTACTAGGTGCCTATAGGGCACAGATGAAGCCATCTGACAATGGCTTTTCAACGTTACAAATAGTAGTCCGATTGATATGTGATCACTATGAATACAAAGACACATATTTAGCATGTTCATTGTTTAGAATACTTGCTACAAAAGAGCCAGCTGGAACCATTCATATCTCATCGAAACTCGCAAAAGACACAGAAAGCATCACGATAGCTGCCGGTTCCTGCACTACGTTATTGATAGATATAATGTCCTGCACGGAGAGTACATTTTCGTGACACGATTTCGTTCAAGCGTCTAACAGCCAGTCGCTATTTTGTTCACTTTTTTTCTGCGTATATATACGCACCTACGCCTTCCGATGGGGTTGAGACGAAAGGAGCGCCCCTTTACGCGCCTTAACGCCCGCGGATTTTCAGTGACGCATACCCCTTGCCAATGGTTACCCATTATAGGTTCGGGAACGTACATCCTATAGAGCGTTGGTCACAATTTGTTCAATCAAGAAAATCACATACGATATAGACTTCCTATCGCTGGCCCGAGTAGGCAAAATCAAAAGCCAGTTACAAACAGGAGCGCAGCAAACCTTCAGGATGATCCGCTTCATAGGGCGGATTTTAAGAAGACACCGTCGTCTGAGTCGCTATCACAACTATGAGACTGTAGCCTTTTGCCGCAGTCCGGATGTATCTCAATCTTTCTGTACAAGAAAAACATACGGGAGATTCAGCCGTCTTAGTAATGGTCTTTATTTGGAGCGTCGAAAAGATGGTTCGGGTTGATACTATTGTCTATAGTAGCGCCCCAGAATTAGGGAAACTAATGGCGAAGCCCCTAAAAGTACTAAGAGGGCCGTCCTGCTCGTTTTGATTGAAAAATGTAAAGACGAAGATGATTGCCACGATGGTGAGCTCTTTTATGGGGTGAACCAGCAAGCGAACAAAGCGCAAAAGCCAGCAGCACTTCGTGCGTACGTATCACACTGCTATATATATAATATGAACATGAATACTGCGAAATGCACTGAGGCCGCCAATCCCGGCATAGAGAGGCCGGTTTTTAGAAGGCATGGCAGCGCTTGTCTTCATCGAAGGCATATTAACGTAGTAAAAGGAAACATAACCATCCCCGACACCTCACGTAAATCGGTCTTTCTAAGCTGTTCGCATTCTCTTGAATAGAGATAACGCCGCGGCGACGACTTTCGAACATTAAGCGAGCAAACCCGCAACGATCGGCCACTATCAGCGCTGCCTCACTCTTTACAAACCGTTTTCTCTCGTTGCAGTTGCTGCTCCGCTTTTATGAGGGAGAGCAGCACAAGCAGCGGCAGTCCCTCCTCGTTTAGCCATCGTTTGCAATCTTCCAAACGTTTTCGCTATCATTGCTCCCATGCTGAACCCCAGCGTGAACGCCGCCCCCAGCGTGAACGCTTTCGATCCAATCTAACACTTCGACCGCCCCCATGGGAGTCAAGCGGACTACTGTCGGTCTTCTGTTAAAGTGGCCTCATGGTTGAATGCGATTTTGATGACCGGCTGGTACCCGCGAACATGGAACGAAGAAAAAGGCGCTGGATAAAGAAAAAGAAAGGAGAGACGGGAGGAAGGCAGCCAGGCCTGAACAGAGAGAGAATCTACAGTACACGCACCAGTGTCAGGGAGAAGCGAAGCCGTCCAAAGAAGCGTTGTCCAGAGAATGCTGCGGTGAGATCGATGTGGCAAGAAGGGCCTCGATGGAGGCTAGCACCGCACCTACCCATAGAGACAGGCAGGCAGGCACAAACATGAACGAAAGAGCACACACTGGCCTCTGTCAGACTGATTTTCAGTATGACAACTGAGCAGCCGGCGACGTGTCCAGGACGTGGCGGTCGCGCAGCTACCTTAATGTCGCAGGTCACAGACGCAATAACAGCAGCAGCAATAGCAGAGTCGAGCCAATCGAAGACGGCTATGGCTATAGTAGGATAAGGGCAAAGCAGCTGCTGCTGTTTGGTTCGATCGAACTGAAGGGAGAGCCAGTGTGAGGTGAGAAGGGAAGCAGGCCAAATTTAGCTTTGGTTGGGAGGACGAAAGGCTGGAGTCGGTTTTCGGACCGGAACGCCACATGAGAAGTAAGCGGGAGGCTGTGGATGAACAAGTCTCAAAAAGGGAAGAAGGGAAACGGCACTTGCCGTTATCCGCGCCTCTGTCACGTAGCAGCTAAATCGAATTCTTATATCAGCAGTAACCGTTACCGGTGGATGGACAAAAAAGATTATCATATTGAGACTTGCCACGCCATAATGAGAAATTTTCAAAAGCAACTTGTGTCTGACTGTTTCTATGCTGAACAAACAGCTTTCAGTAGTGGTACCTCTTATGGCATTCAAGTCAGCTCATCTTGGTTTTTACACCGAAGAGAGTTTATTATGGATAAATGAACACCTAATGTTAATGACGGCAAAAAAAATTTACTTTAAAAGCGTTTTGTGCTTAACGCCTGAAATCCAGTCGCTTTTTTTAAAACAAAGACACCAGATGGTGCCTTTACACTGCACACGTTGAGTTATTGTGTATCTATCTCAAAGGGCATTTTTGTAGTCACGATAACAGCAACACAACAAGGTGAATGTATTTTCTTCGATATATTATGTACATGTTACTGTATGATAGTGACGCGTTTTATGAACACCATATTCTTTAGGTCTCTAGGTTTCATGTGTCCTAATCTCGAGGCTTTTCATGTTTACAGCATTGTATTATATGGAAAATAGAAGGATGCATACTTATATATGTACCTAACAGAAGCAGGAGCAAGAGTAAATTCAGCATTCGTTTAAACGACTATATGATAGAATGCATTGAAGTTATGGTGCAAGCTGGCCGCGTGTGCGCCAGATAATAATACAAATTCGCTAGCGCCCACCTTGTATGCTGCAGTTAAAGACGGCTTCGTGGCCAATTTCGACGCGCTGTTCCTGTGGGATAAGACGGGCCTGAAGAGGTACAATAACCGTGAGAACCGACTCAGTACGCTCCTCTCCGGCGCTGTTACGGGCAATACAAACATAACGTCCTTCGTCTGTCGTTCGGAGAGCTCGGATAGTAACGACTCCGTTAGACGTCTGAAGCCGATCGCTGTCTGTCAACTTGCGACGATTTCCATCTTCATCTTCCAGATACCAACTGTAACAGGTCAAAACAAGCGAACCAGTAACGAGTATGACGAATTAAAATATTTTTGCTTATTTCATTGCATATATAGTATGATATAGTAACATGAATAAGGATGGTTTATTATTATATAATTTACTCTATTTTATTTATTGAGCAACATCTTGCTTGCCTGTATTTCGGCGGGGGATGGCCCTGCGCTACACAAGGTAGGTCAACGTGAGCCCCCAACTTTGCCTTTACTTCGGGGAAGAACAGCGTCGCTTTGGGAGCAGAACTCACATGCGATTCTGTAAAGCAAATGGTGCTTGTATGGGCATGTTCCAACCGAATCATGTAAGCGGAATAGAATGAAAAGACCTAGAAGAAAAAGCGGCACTCTGGAGCTGTGAGCCTGAAGAGACTACTGCTCTTCGGTTTTGTGTAAGAGATACGAGAATAAGACATGGGGTCAGGAAAAATACTATCAAGGTCCTATAGAAATCTGAAATCACTTTCAGAATTCTGATACACTTATTCAGGGGCAGTAATTATTGTGTGCAAATTCTATCTAATAAAAAAGTAAACCAGGAGACATTCGTTGAGATTTCTGCTGGGCAAGCATACGCTGCACGAAGCTTGTAATTAACGCACTTACCAGTAACTGTCACTTTCCCATGTGAACTGCTTACGGCAATCTTGCCAGTTAGTAAGTGGCGTGTTCGGCATCTATATGAGCGTTTCTCGTCGTCTTTCGATGTCTTATACACGAGAAGTTCACCACTCTGTAGTACTGTGTAACGATCCTCTAGAATGGGAAATTTGTCAACATGGACAGTACCTGTTAGGAAGTTAAAATTGTATTGTGTGTAGGCAATTACCTGTGCAAAAATTCTACGTGACAGAAATCGATAGAAAACAAGCAACAGAGATGGTCCTTTCACCACCGTTTCAATTGCCGAATCTTTACATTTGGCTCTAAGCAAAGTATGTTGATGACCTTGCCTATGTGCAAGTGCGTATGCCTATAGGTTATGCAGATCAGCAGCCTTGAGTTGTCGCTGCTGGTTTCAACTTCTCGCGGTGCCTCGTGTTCAGTTTGTGGGTATCAGTAGTAAAGGTAGTGGTAGTAGTAGCAGCTAGCTTAGAGCTTCCATGACATCGTCTATGTTGATTGGCTTCTTGCTCTCTTCTTTTACATTCTGCCTTTAGCTTATCTGGTGTCCATTTTACTCTTGGGGGCTAGCTTGTTCACTGAAGCATCAGTACAGCGCAGATCCGTAGAGCACGTCGCCTTAGGTCGGCGAGAAGGAGGATGACGTGCCTGATGACAGACTCCGGATCCATTCTCTTATTGCGCCCAGGGGAGCTCTGTGTCAAGGGCACCGAGGGTCATTCTACTGCCAGCAATAGGCAGGCTAGCAGCTTCTGTCATGACAACCAGTGCTAGTCTACAAGAATCCGTTTGATTAAGTCGTATATGGTATACATATAACGCGTAAGCTCATCTTCTCCTTCCTATCGCATATTGTCGCATTCGCATGAGCAAAAGGGCCCTGTCGCGACTTAACATTACGACTGAACGTAGACGATGTCAAGTTAGTGATCTCGATTCTACGAATGCTCTACGATCTGATCATAAGAAAGAAAAGAATAAGAACGGGTGATTTTCTGCCTCGTTCTCCTTCTTTTTCCTTCGTTTCATCCGACTTTTCTGTCTTGGCTCCAGAGAGATCTGTGATTAGATCTGATCGGCACTTGATCGAGTTCGAACAAAACGAGATAGGTCTTTAGCAGAGAGAGAGCAACTCGCTCGCTCACTGGCTCGTGAAGAATACTTGAGTTGATTGAGAATCGGTCGGATTCAGAAAAAAAGGGTCGTCATACGAATGGGCTAACCTATCCCCCATTATCAAAGGTTTAGCTTCTGTGTCAGTGTCGTATACATACGGTAGCCTATTTGGCGGGGTGCGGCCTGTTTCGATTACCTCAGGCAGGCTGGTTGACCGAGAAGCTTGTACGTACGCTCACAGACCAACACCCCAGTTGAAGAAATTGAATTTTCTTTGAGGAAATCCTCAAAGCTGTGTCTCTTAAATGAAATAGCTACTATTTGGTATGAACGTCTGTAAGTAAGTTCAGCGGTAAGCGAGAGAGCGGAGGCCCAGATGAACTTTAAGGTGTTCCACTCTAACTAGCATTATAGTTCAGGAATCAAGATCGTAGAACTCGAAACGAAGCAGCAGCTGCATCTGTCCGTCTCAGTAAACGATAATGCAACTAACATATATTAGTGATTATCTCTCAGTAGGTTTGGTGCGTTCATGCAAATCAGCGTGTATTGCTATAAGCGATGAGCGACATTATGAGGCCCATATTGACAGCAAAGCAGTGTCACTTGATAAAACTACCGTACGAATGCCATCTACTTAGGTATATAGAAAAGGTTCATACAAAAATATTTACATTTAATATGCCTATCAACAGGCGCATGTGACACAATACTTCAATAATCGCGAAAGGTTTGATCCTCTATTGCGCAGTGTTTAAGCAGAGCTCTTTAATTGAATCTCCCAGTAGTCATGTTCATTCTGAGTTGGCAGTACCCCAACGAATGGTCCTCGGCCGTCGGTATTCAGAAAGCGAATCTGTGACAGCAGCAGCGGATCTTGTAGAAAGATGGCACCTCGTCTAGTCGGTTCGTAACAAGCGGGTGCTCATTTGCGCCAGCCATTGCTAGAGCCAGTGCCGTCACCATTTCCTTCCCATCGCTCCTGCTGTGTCTGCTCCCTGTTGCCGTCTTCCTTTCTCGCCCCGGTTATCAGCTCACCGAAGGACAACGACGTTTTCGGGCCGACGTCTGTCTTTTCGTCGCCTGCTTTTCCACACACCGACCGTCTGCGCCCTGTTCTCTTTCTGCACTCCGGCATTACAGCGGCGATAGCAGCAGTCCATCCCTGCATTGCCGTACAGGGCTGTCGCCGAACGTGGATCCCTTTGGGAAGTCGCTTGGGGCCACGCGTAGTGGGGAGGTGCAAGAGCGTTTCTAGTGCTACTGCAGCTTGGCCGATTCAACCAATGTATTGCTCTCCTTGTCTGTTGTTCCTCCCTGCACCTCCTCAGCCCATATCCCCTTCCTTTTTCCTATTTCGCTCCCCAAGCGATGTGTAATGCCCTCAGCGAACATAGTGCGACAGAAGACTGTACAAATAGTCTCCCAATGCCCGCCCACAGCTGCCAGCCCGTGGAACTCCGGCAGCTCCAGCCGCTCGTGGTGACAGATTTGTCGCATCACCCCTCCTCGTGCTACGCGCCCCCACCGCCATTGTGCACCGGCGTGGGCCAGCCAAGAGTGCGGCAGGCTGCTATTGCCCACTGCTGCTGCCGCATCGGCCGTCGTTGGTGCACGCGAAAGCCACTTCGCCACTCTGCCGCCCGTCCGCCCGCCCGAGTGAGCGACAAAGGGAACGAAGCCGACCGGCCGGCCGGCCGATTGCCTGCCTAGCCTTCCCTGCGGGCCAATTAGATGTAACAGCGCCAGCAGCAACAGCAGCAGCGACAACATTTTCGAATTCGGGGAGCGCAGTACACAGGGGAGAGGGACGATAGCTGGCGCAAAACAGGGGATAGCTCGGCATGCATTCGTCAGCAGCCTGGTTCGAGGGTAGCGGCAGAAACGGAAGGGGACGAGGGTTAAGGTTCTCGGTAAAAAAAGAAACAGAAGCCAAAGGGAAGCGGACGGGCCGGCGAGAATAAACGCAGACAGCGAACGACGAGAGCATGTACCAGACTAAGGCTTTGTCGAAAAACAGAAAGTGTCGAACAGATAATGGGGACCTGCTGGTGGGCAGCTGCGGCCAGAGGAAGAAATTGCACAGTCGCAGGGGCCAACACTAACAGCACTTGGAAAGACGGAACAGCTGAGGAAATGCAGAGCTTTGCTAAAAGAATGAATCGGGTCAGCGGCAAACGCTTGTCGTAAAAAGATGAGAAAAAAAAGCGATTTAGTTCTGAAGTTGTATCTCTAGCTATTGTACAGTCTCGCTTCTTCTCTTTCTGCGTGTTTCCGTATTGTCGTCTTTTACGTTGCGTTTTTTTTGCTCCTCCTTATTATGTTTCCACCTGCGCTAGCTAATCTTCATTCTTATGCGACAGCTGAATGCCCAGAGGCAACCGCAGATGCGACCCGCTACTCGTTTCATCTTTAAAAAACCAGGCAGCTAATCCGTCTAACGCAATTATCGTTTTGGCTTTTCGTTGACTAATCTCTGAATAGTATACGCGTGTGAGATCTAAGAATTTTCGACTTAACTCACAAAATGCTTTTAATCCCTACGCCTTATATATATATATATATATATATATATATATATATATATATATAAAAGAAGTATATATTTATGCCTATAATCTCCGTGTACACTATTTGTCTTTTGTTCGCTTTTAATGGCGGTGCGTCTGTGCGCAAAACAGATAAGCATGACTATTACTTATTTACTGACAGAGCTTTGGGCAAGTATCTATTCTGAAGTCATAGATATGCTGACGCCAACAGGATGGGCTACCTCTGCGAATGAATGGATAAGCACGGAACATAGTGATCGAGATAGGTCTACGCAGTCGAGCTGCTGATAGAGGGTGATGCCTCGCTGTATTTACTGTTGATGGTAGCATTGGCATGCGAGTGATCACGTGTTGTCCAGCCATAAAGGATTACGCGCGTTCGACAGATAGCGCAGGATCGGTGACCGGACCTTGCCGGAGGGAAGTTATTGCTGCCGACGGTCGGGAAAAACGGAACGCGCCTCGCGTAACAGTGTCCTACCTAGCAGTTTGTCGTAACTCATTCGTCTGACCAGCTAGCTGGAGGGAAGAAGCAGCGAGTGAGAAAGAAGGAAGAAGCTTACCACGAACTTGTGGCATCATTGTCGTCTGGACTCCTTCCGCCTCCTTCCCAAGACGTCACCCTAATCTCCTTCTTTGTCGGAGCAAGGTGATAGCCAGCGTCCGTTCCTGCAGTAAGCTGGAGCTGAACCGTGGGTCTCGACTGACTGCCGTCAAGTGGCTTGAATATTTCGCTTTCATCCCGCTGCCCTCGTATTCTTTGCCGCTCAGGTAGAATGTACGTCTTGTAAAGGTGTGCTTGTATGCGGAAAAGCTAACCTTACCATATGTAACACGCTCCGAATGAGCTGTTTGAAAAAGTTAGCGATCGCGTTTATTATGTTTATAGCATTTCTTTTTCCCTGTTTTTACGCACCAAGTAGTCATCGTGGAACGACATTGCAAAGCTCCCTGTGTTTTTAGCACTTGAGCTACCTAAACTCACTATGCAGTGACTAACCTTTATTGCCCGAGGCGTTGATTGTAAATCCGTCGTCTCGAATCCAAGCGTCTACATTCGTATATTGACGGATGTATGAAGGTACGTGACATTTTAGGACCGCTGTATTCCCACGCACAACGAACCCGTCATATACACGGGGTTCATACGTGTAATCTACCACTAGAGCAAGACAAGGAGAATGAATGGGAATATTAAAAAATCCGTATCAATTATGATGACAGGACGCCAATGGAATCATACTAATATGACTGCAATAGAAAGTGTGCGTCGCATTGACTGACGCCACCATGACTACGTGTTATTAGTGCCTTTTAGAGGAGCCGCTATAAAAATGTCGTTGAAATTTGTGTAACAACACAATTATACTTACGCGGATCAATAGGAATGTAGCTCTCGGTTTTTGAAATTGTTGTATTCTGCCCTTAATCGTACTGGTAAAAACGTGGCTAACCTGATTAAAAAGAATACTCCAATGCTTCCAATACTGCCGTTAAGCGTTGCTCCGGACGGCTGGAAACGAAACGTGTATCTGCTTTGTTTCGAACTTAAACCAACGCCACTATGAGACAAACACGCTACCTTTGCACCAATATGGGAACTGATCTAGCTGTAAGGGTGTTCCGTACCTGCGCTCACGTGCACGTCACGTGAGGTGATGGACCCGATTGCATTTGTGGCGACACAACGGTAGATAACCGCGTGCACGTCCTGACGGTAATCTTCACTACGAAAAGGTGGCAGTACAAGAGTTCCTTCGTCCGTGAAGGTTCGGAGTCCTGCAACTTGGCTTACAGGCTCTCGAGGGTCTGCAAAAGAATCACACATTATTTATGTAATTCAACAGCATCTAAATAGCTGTGATCGCACTTAGGTCATCTAATTTACAATTCGAAATTAACTAAATGTTAATATTTATTCATTGCAGGCAGAAAACGTACGCTGTTGCCAGTGAAACAAGAGTGGTCTCACGGCTTTGATTTACACTAGATGTGTTTCTGCAACATGTCCACGTTCAATTTGACACAGTCCGTACGGTAAACTGCTTGTTAAGTTGTAATCAAACCAAGTTATACGGAGGCTCCCGGAGCAAACAGAGTTCCAACTTTGTCAGTTAGCGCTCTTCTTGCGTCCAGTACCGGGAATATATTGGATGTCGAATGTGCGAATCCCCCCCTCCCACTGGCGTTAGTCGGTTACCGACCGAATCCATTGTTCTGATCTGTTGTTGTTATCACTGCTGGCGTCCTGCAGCCGCAACGGGATGCTGCCACGATCATTTGTGCGCCGAAGCGAATGCTAACGGCGACGATCGGTAAGGCAATCCCGCCACAGTTACGAACAGCTGGCAATAACTGAGACATGTCGCCAGCGCAGTGCCCTAATTTGGCAAATATAGGTCTTGTACAGCCGATAGCCATTGCAGGAATGTGCAACAATGTGTTGTTTCGGCTGCGGGCGGATCGTGGCCTGGTGTCGTCATCATCGCCGTTGTTGTTACAACTCTTTACAATTACCTTCGCGTCCTATTTAGGGTCTGGATAAAGGGAAGACGTGTGTGCGCAAGAAAATGTCTATGCTCCTTAATCTTGTCTTTTCGCCGCATGGCTGTTGCATGTGTGTGTATGCATGAGTGGGTGGCATAATGACGATACTAATCGCAGTGACGGTAACAACAGCGACAGCAACAAGAACCGACACTAAAAACAGTAACCGTAGTACACATATTAGCATTCTCTTCTCGTCTATTTTTGTTCTCTCCACCCCCCCATCATTTATTGTTTGTCACCCCCTCGTATAGATCTTCGTTTAGATACAGCTTACATCGAAGAAAACGAATACGGCAAATGAGTATGAACGACATGGGGCAGAGCGGTACAGTGTAGTGAAGTTTATGCGCCTCGATGTTTTGCGGCATAATATTGATGGGGGTAGATGCCGATTTATAGGTACGCAAAATGCCTGCGTAAGGTGAACCTTGTGTAGTTGTTTGTATTTATGTAGATGCATATCGCAATCTTAAGGCATAAAGCGGATCCGATGTAGCGCTGCGCCAAATGCTGGACCTCTGGCACCACTGTCCTCTTTAGGCTGCCGCCTCTTGCTTGCAAGGGTTCCTCTTTCGCAGGATTGCAAAAGTTAATATGAGAGGTGGGGTGTCTAAGGGTTTCAGGGGGCCCAAAGAAGGGTGTTCTAGGTGAGCTCTGCATGCAGCGAGGCACTGCGCTGCCTTCATTCCCGTAAAGGCCAACTGCCGCCGTACCATACAACACTAAAAGCAGCAGCAGCAGCAACCTCCTTGGTATTCATGTAAGTGAGAAGAATGTAAATCACTTACCAACCTAGATAGGATATGTACATGGGGCTATGCAAAAGCGTGAAAAGATAGGACCGTATACAGGAAGGGGTAAATTCGGGTGAGAAGAGTAAAAATAGGGCCGATTCCAATGGCCGACAAGCCGTTTCCACGGCGGTAAGCAAGTGGTGGGCCAATATATAGATTTCCCTCCGGGGACCATTTTTTCCATTTTGCACGTGCGTTGGTTGTAATCCAGGTCTTGTAAGTACTATTGCTGGTTAGATACACAACTGGATGTATATACATATATACGCCAAATGATCTAGGCTGCAGTTTACTTATTAGATGATAGCAGAGAAACTCAACTAATGTTGCCTCGAGAGATAATCTCTCTAAATCTCCCTAAGCACACATGAACGACTCCATTGCTCAATCTATTGAAGTATTTGTTTCTTTACTCGATTTTCACATCATATATGGCTGTACTAATTCAAAATTTAGCTCCGATTATGGCATGATCATCTTACTCTGTTACAACAAATTACAGGGAAATGATGCCCATAAAAAATGTCAACAGTATCAGTCACACAATTACTTGCACATGAGTTTATACGCTTTGTGCCAATTTCACATGTTAATATCTGGCCGGGACGTTTAAAAGCTCTGTATAGACCATGGCTACTCATTTTCCCCGCTATCTATATCTACATCGCGCCCATTTCTACTTTGCCGTTGTACACCGGTCCTGATCAGCTATAGCGTCTGTAGTCGACGTGCAACTTCTGGGGTCGTCCTTAGCGTTTTAAGGACCTTTGTTTTAAGGGGCATTGTTTGCGTACACGCAGCGATGATACCTACCCACAACACTCTCTCGGGAGCGGAACGATGAGCCTACAGAAAGCAGGACTACCCCAACAAGGCAAGATCTTCTAGGAGGGAGAAGGTAGTGTCACCGTAAGGATGTTACTGAGAGACTCCGAAGTTACGTAAGCCTCAAAACAGAACATCATCAACGACTAGCGATAGTACAGGAAAGACGGGGGCCAATCACCCCTTTTTCGGTTGCCTCATTCGTTGAACGCCTGACCGTCGAGATAATCCCCTCATTGCAGCAGTCGGCGGCGGCTGCTGCTGCTGCTGTTGTCTGCCTCGATGCCTCTAGGACACGATGGGTTAGTGGCTGTTCCGTCCTCACCATCGTTTACTGCGGCGGGCCAGTCGCTATGTCCTTTTCGTTCCGGCTTTGCGTTCCACTGAGAACGACCGGTAGAGTTACTGACGGAGTATACGGCAATACGGCAAACTTGCTGGACACCAGGCCATGTATATGACCGGAAAGCGTTAAGCCGTCTACTATGCTTAGCTGCTGCTGCTTAGTTCCATCGGGAAGCATCGGCACACCGTCGTCGTCGGCGTTCACAGAAGTATAGCGTATGGCACTCTCAACTCTCTGTTCGCCTACGAAAAAGAGCGCATGAGGCCACACTAATATAATGAAGGCACACAGGCAAGCAGCCTCCGTTTGCATCCCGCCTTACCTCGCTTCGTTCGAACACGATGGCGGTTGGCGATTATAGCTGAGCCTGGATGTTACCAGCGAGACGACGGTGCACAGTAGCACCGCTACTAGTGAGAAAGCCGTCGCTTCGTGCAAAGGATAGCAAATCGCAGGGGCTGCCACGACCAGTGCCGGCTTGACGGGCCTGTAGCTTCGTACTGTGGACGAAAGGACAGCTGCTCAAACTGGGAGAACGGAAGCGAAGGACTGTTGGGTACATCACGTAGCCCGCTGCACAGTTGAGATAATCCTGTTGGCCAAATATGTGCACATAAAGCGACGCAATGGGCTGAAGAAGTGTAGCCGGGTGAAAATAGATGCAGCACGACTTAAGCTTACCGTATTCATATACATGCTATAGAAAGATTGTGAAAACCGTGAAAAGTTGAAAGTTTATTATTAAGTTGATTTAAAGCAAAATGACCTCGATCATATTATCGAAATGTTAAGATTGTCCACGAACATTTTGAATATTTTTACTTTATGGGAGAGAACGACCATGATAACAGTAACAATCATATAAATATACCCCAGAGGATATTGGGCCGCAATCTCAATGCGTACAGTTCCCCCGAATCTGACTAGGTTCTGCGAGCGTACATGTGACTCTAGTGCAAAGAATCGGCACCCATTATCTAAGTAACTGCGTGTTCCTTTCACTCTTTATCTTTTTTATTCAAATGGTGAAAGACATTCAGCCCTGATTTCTGCGCGATGTATAATAACAGACTCTAGCAATCATGTATACAAATAATGAGTTTTTATCTCTTCCCTTGAGGCAGGTTTGGTCCAGAAATTGTACAAAAAGGGCAAAAATCGACAAACACAATTTGATGATAATGGCAGATATTAGCGATGATGAAATTATGTTTCATAAGCTAGATGTACTTCGTGCTGCGAATGGTATTGCGCTTTATTTCTATATAGATATTCTATGAGCTTACTAACTACCCATTGTGCTTCTGATAGTAATTCATGATCATTTTTCCAGCTTTTAAATACATCAAAGGCTTTAATTTAACTTAAAGTGGAAAACGTAAATGTAAGTTTCACGTTTAGTTTTAATCCTCTCCAACCCGGCGTCTTGGCGATACAAATTTCAAACACGGGCCAGAAATGGTATCCGAATGTACTTAATGTCAATTTTGTCGTTTGTTTAGGTGCGTACAAATTCTTATTTTACCAGGGATGCTCTATACGCTTAAGCGAAGAATAAATATAACATAGGAGTGTTTTCTTGTGAAAATATTCCTCTGTTTCTTATTTTCTTATAAATTCATTACCATTTCCTTCGAACCCTTTCAATTTTACCGCTTGTTGAATTCACCCGTTTACGACCGTTTGTTGTCTATAGTTTAAACGGCAGTGCGGGGTTGTATTCAAGAACCTAGCTACAATGAAACGGTAAGTCTTATTCCGTACGTCTAACTGTGGCTCTAATTCATTGCGCGTCACCGGACATCACGCTGGAACGCTATATCCTTCCAAGCGATGTCGAACTGTTTAACAAATACGTTTATACGCAAATTGGGCATACAACTCAAGATATAATGGACCATACTCGTGCTTGCCCTCGAAAAATCGTGAAATTTAAGCAGGCTACAACGTTGACGATATGTTTTCTCCCGAGACGTTGTTACCTTGTCCGTCATAATTTAGAAAAACAACGGATCCCCCTAAAATTAGAACAATTTTCTTGCCTACGGTCGCACTTCTGGCCAGACGACCGATCAACACTATTAAAATCAACTTGGACGTAACATCACGGTAATGGCCATAATATTATATTCTAAAATAATATCATATGAATCACCTATGTTTCTCAACGATTGTGACCATGTGTCGGTGTGAAACGCAAGCATCTACTAGCGTCGTTAAATACTGCCCAAGCTATTTACGGAAGGCCGTCCAATGTCATACGCCACATGTGAATACGAACGTAATACACGTTGATGTTTGTATATATGTATCTATTCATGTACGTTAATTAATACGTTGTAATGTGTATATATATATATATATATATACATGCCTCCTGCTTATGGCTGATACGTTTTAGATACCTAACTATCATATAGGCAAGACGTTTCTCTGCGATTTTCCCGTTTGACCGGTCCCCTGCCCATCCCCATCGTGCTTGCTAAACGCCTTTAAGCTTTATGACTACTGCTAACCTCTAGCCTTAGCTGGATGATGGTGGTCGGGTCGATGGTCGCACTTCGACGCCGACGACTGAGACACACGGCGGCCGTAGCGTTCCGTTGGATTTCATGCAGTCCGGATGGCAGAGCCACAGTCAACTATGCGTAAGTGTACTCGCGGAAGCGCACGGCTTGCGCTAGCCTCAGTCGCCGCTGATCCCCATTGTGTCGAAGTTATGCTCTTCCCGCCGCTGCGTTACACTACAAAAACTGACGGTATGGCAACCGACTGACTCAGAGCCAGCCATGGCAATATAGCATAACCTCATTTCCAACCCTTGGGGCATAACCCAGTCATTCACGGGACGGTCATTCAGAGTGGCATGTTGTGCACGACGAGAGACAGCGGGCAAGGAAAGAGAGCGTGGGTACAAATAAGAGCGGACCATTTTTGCTGCATGAAGGACTCGCGACCTGGTGGGGTTTTCTTGTTTTTCTCGGAAGAAAAAGCATTGTCATCTCAGTTAAAAACGAAGCATATATGCAACAACGCATTTATGTGTAACTAGCATTACGGTCAGCTCTGTCTGCACCAGCATGTGGAAGTTGCTTCTTTGCCCCGAACCTATTTTTGGTGCCCCTTCCTCATGTGATATCGTAAGTCTTTTTTACTAGATTTTTTTTCTGTGCGAACAGATCCTCAGAATCACCTTCTCGATACAGCATCAAAGACTTACCCCCAATAGAAGATCTAGCGCGGATGAGGTTTGCTGGACCTATCTGGGGTTTCTTTAAGCGATCCACAAACGGCAAAATAATTATAGCCACACAGACCTCGCTACCCCTTATATACAGTGTCGCACTACCTATAATTTAATGTTATCCATAGTATGAGAGATTTCCGGTAAAATTTGGTTTCTAATTTCCGGTTTATCTATCATATTTAAATTGGAGCTCTGAAAACGAGGTTTAAGGACTGCTTCCTTGCTGTTTGTTACGAATCAGTAAATTAAGCGTTACCATGCTTATAGTACGAATATGTAGGAAATCTGTCATAGTGATAAAATTCTCTGGCAAAATCTTGAATTATGACGCTATGCATTTTTATTAGCCCTTTTTCAAATGCTCAAGTTCTTAGGAAACAATATGCAGCCTTTCCTATCGCTCGATTAAACAAGATTGTTTCAATAGAGATGTTTGGTCATCGTGCTGTTCGGTATCTAACACACTATACAAACTTACCATCGGCTGAGACCCATGTTAGGGTTAAAGGTGCATCGCCTGTGGCTTCGCATGTAAGTTCGGCTCCGCTTGAATTGGAAAATTCGACCCAAAATAATGGTTCTGCAGAGAACCGAGGGCCAGAATAATCTGAACTGATGCCACCTGGACCACCCAGGGGACCGTCTATCCCACCTGGCCCCCCAACACCGCCCCCATTTACAGCTGCTCCTGAAGCAAGAGATGCTGAAAATGGTTCGCAAGATAAACAAACAACAAATCGCATATGTTAACTTGAGGAATAGTTGGAATAGCTAATTTGACTGCATCAAGTATTATACTTGGAAAATTATTCAGCATTACACTTATTATTTTAATTTTAAAATAAAATACTCAAAGTATGTTTGTCATAAAACGAAAGTTACACTCGTTAAACTTCAAGCCTTGATTGTTTATCAGAACTTCTTAGCCCAACCTGTCTGACGCAACTACGTTACATGATCACCATAGAAATGTTTGACGATTTCACTGGCGTTGTTTGTTCGGATTAAGAAGAGCACTCCTTAAAGCTAACGACAACCTTACAACTCGACAATCATCTCTATTTCGTTTTTCCTCCATGTTTGGAAGCTTGTCTCATATGAAACTAACGCCTATCGTATTTTTGCTTGCATACGCACGCTCTGTATTGCACTACTTCTCGTTATGTAATGAGAATTTCAGCGTTCATCCAAAGAGAATTCCTGAGTTCTCGTTTTTGCGCTATTATGAATCGTATAGCTCCGCATCCGATGTCCTTTGCTTTTGTTTTAGTTAGGCGAAGAATAAGACGTTATCGCTGATCGAACAAATGAACCCAAGACGCTACATGTAGTAAGCAAATTCCACGAACGCGGCTGCACTGATTATTTCATTGGGGACGTTGCCCCTCCGTCTTTTCCCCTTATTCCCCTCGTTTTTTTGCGCATACTGTCCCACCGCTATTTTCCACTCCGGCTTTTCTCTTCTTGTCTTCTAAAATTCCTCGCGGTTTTTTGTCCTCTCCTATCGCTCCCGATAACGTTGAGCCTGAATCGATGCTATAGCATATGACTCAACCTGCTGGGTTGTGTCGAGCCCGGTTTCTGCCGCCTTGACCCACTGGCTGATCCAAGCGCCATCCGAACAACCGATTTCGCGCAGAAGTCGGGCCAAGAATGGGCACTTGACTCGTGCGGCTGAAAAGGGGCAGGAGCAACTCCAAAGTTCTCCGCGAAAACCATGATAGTGGGTCAAGCCAGGATAAAAAGAAAACTGTGCTGCTGCTATAATACGCGTCACCGATGTCTGATACTGCACGGTGCTTCATACATCGTCTCCAATATAAAACGGTTCGGTTTTGCCGTTCCAACCCGACCTAGCTAAATGGGCAAACATTTTCCTCTCCTACCTGCAACGCTTCACTCATTGACTCGCTTTGCTAACTCTCTGCTTTGTATATTGAATTATGCCTCTTGAATTTGCGGAAAATGACGTTGCGAGTTTACAACCTTCATCGTCGCTTTCTGTAGTTTTGTTTTACATTGTACGTCGTACAATGGAAACCAGCAACAGTGGTAGGCAGCGGTTGTAGCTATAGCTTGAACTGCAGCCAAAGCAACTACTTACGGGGCTTCCAGGCTAGTGAGTCTTTTAAAGGATTACTTCGTCAATTGGCAGCCTGGCCATGACCATGTTTTTTTTACTCTTAAACTAACTTAAGCTAAATATTTCCTTGTATCTATGCCACTTTCCTTTCGTATCTGGCGTTCAAATTCATCGTATGAATATATTAGATTATCTTGTTAACGCTGCGGTGACCGCGTAACCGCTCATCCATGTACCTTATGCGTGCATCTGTGTTCGTAGGCGCTAAACATCTCTGTATCCGTTGTCGCACGTTGATTTGCTTATCTGTACTCGTATGTCCTGTCTTCTTGTGCTAACGGGCGCGTTGTCTTTCGGCTGGCTCATAATACTGTTTCATTGTGTCTTTCTTAGAATTGCTACTGTTTCCTGTCCTTCGTCTTAGTGGGTTAAACTGCGCCTCAAACGAACCTCGTCGAGATGACTGAGTGAGCCTGTGGGGAAGGGCCTAGGTTTAGGTATGGGTTAAAGAAGCTAGGTAATAGGGAAATTGTCCCTATTTCCACACCACCCAGTCAGCCAGCTAAGAAACGAGTAAAGAGAAAGGTACTGCGACATGAAGCGGCCGCGAGTGCTGCTGCTTTGACGATGGCTGTGTAGAGTTTGCGTTGGAAACAGCACCAAGGAGCCGACTGATGGACGAACGAACGACCAGAGAAAACAAGTGAGCAAGTAAGTGGATGAATATCGTCGTTCGAGTTGAACTTTATCATAGCACACATTCGTTCACTCCTCGCATCAGTGTTCTGGCACGCCTTTGCAACTAACTTAACGTGCGAGTAACTCGATGACGCAGTTAACGCCGTTCTAACTGTTAGAATCTCTCTGTGTTACGTTCGCTTTTTTTGCTGCCGGCGTTGTCGTCTCAACCTGTTTTACTGTGATTCCTAGCTAGTTTTGTTTGGGCCAACGGTTATAACCATGGATCCACGAGTTGGTCGGTTGGTCCTTCAGGACGCACGACCTTTCTCAACGAGCCTAGACGACCCAACATGCCACTCCCAGTTCGTCTTTCTCCCATTATGTTTCTGTTCCCCAATTTCTTTTTCTCCGCCTTCCGCCTTCCTAGTCGTCCTGCTGCCCAAAAGTGTCTGCTGCTGCCTTTTCCTCTAGCCCCTCTAGTTGAGTAGCGACAACGTAATCTCATTTTGCAGTAGCAGTCCGGACCAGCTACCGCCGCCGAAACCTCGGTCCTTCGTTTCTAAAGCCGGCCGGACGAAATCCCTTCTTCCAAAAGACATTCTCGTCGAGTGGTGCCGGCAGCCACCATGCTGACAACTATGGACTTCTTGAACCGACGCCATAGAAGTATCCCATGCCCCCTCCCCTTACCCGATCGCCTAGGTCTGCAGTGTGACACAGGCAAGCGTGGGCACGGTCGTGCGCGCTCTCTGACAAGGCTCACTACCGCGGACCGACAAGTCCAGACCGGCTGCCCATAGTAGTAGCTATAGTAGTATAGATGCGGCAGGCACCCGCTGGTCGGATGGTGGTATTCAGTAAGAGGGAAGCGAGAGCACTCACTTTTCGCCTGCGACGCATGGTGGCGACTGCAGCTGGCATTCCTGTTCGTTGCCTTTGGCTGTTCGCTTTGCTGCGGTCCATCCCGTCTCCCATCCAATCTTACGTTGTTGTTGAGCAGCCGCAGCAAGGGCAGCTGCAGCAGTAGCGTCAGCGGTGGGAGCAGCACCACCAGTGGCGACGCTATTACGATGGATCTGTGTTGAGGGCCTGAAGCCCATAATACAACGCAAACACAATTCTACAGGGTGAGATGTACGCAACTGAGAACAACAACAACGGTGATAGCCTCGGCCTTTGAGGAGACGGCGCTAACACGCTACTGAACTGCTACTAGGCCCCGACGAGGCCCCCTGCCTGCGACGAGGCTGTCGACAATGATGACTGCTACGAGACATAAAAGATTCGGAAAGAATGGCGCCGCTTGCGTTGAATACTTTCCACATCGTTATTGTATAGTTGATGCCTTCGCTGGCGGCGCCGCTGTCGTCACAGCCTTGCACGCGCAAACACGTCACAGCACTTCGACTTGCTATCTCCATACGGGTGGACGCTCTGTCAAGCCGTTGACCAGTGAAGATATTTCAATCCGGCTTCTGGTTATGTGCTTCACCCCCCGCCATCGCCAGCACCATTGTATGTGATGCGCAGTTTGTTCAGAGCGGCAGAACTGTAGTTGAACTCCTATGGAATATGCCACATACTGCACAACGCGGTACCGCTGATGCATTACGGCATAGTGTGCAGTCAAGCGCCAATGTTCGTACTACCCTCAGGCAATATAATACATACAGCATGAAGTAAATTAGAAGTACACATAAGCACATAGCACTATCATGATGCATATGGCATAGTTTCGCCGTTCCTTAAGGTACGCGAGAATGTACGCCGGACATAAGGATTCCCTCGATGCTCCGTTGGCTGATGTATGGTACAACTTCTTCTGCTTAGTTGCTCAGATGATCTTATTGACTTTTTAGCCCGTCAGCTCCTTGACACAAAGCTTGTCGTGAAGGAAGTTACTTGTGGAAAAAAGTTTCTATACCCTGTATCGTGCCGCATTAACAACGTTCGCTCACAGACTATTACGTCCCCCAAAAAATACGAGGAACACGTTTAACCTAAATATCAATATAATGTAAGACTTCGTTCAACTCACATATCTGTTCCATGCGCACGGGTTATGCAACAGTAAAAGTGCTACTATATCACGAACGTTACTGCTAAACGAAGATGACGCTTTTACTTAGGACAATCACGTTGGGTAGTAAACCTATTTCAAAGTTTTGCTTAACACATCTTCGGATACTGCTGAAGGGTTTTCATCAGATCTACTCACAATGCTGGCTAGTCGCTAGATAGCTGTTAGGCACGTCAGCCGGGGTAATATATATTATTATAGTTTAGCACTGTCATTAATTGTGTCGTATCTCCTGAAGGGAGCACCGTCACGAGGTAACGATTCGCTGCAATCGCCATCTCCGATGTATGTCAAGTATGCATGTAGTACATTCCTATGGGGGCGTATGTGGTACGAGCAATGCGTCGAACTGCCTGCTTATCCATAACGATTGTGGCTACTGACGATATAAAAAGCTACCTTGGCTACCTCTTCATAACAAGCTATCTGTTCCAGCTGGCAGCACTCAGTTGCCACAGAAGAAACAGTCGTCTTTTTCTTGCCACCTTTACTATCATGTAATTAATCGATCGACACCAACGGTGTTATGTTAGTATTAGTTGCTACTGCTACTTGTAACAGTAGAGGCGAGCGAGAAAGAATGAACAAATAGGAGTCAGCTAGTCGCGCGCGTTACCGCCAAGCTAATAAGCGAACTCGTACAAATGCCCGATCCAGCCATGTGAAATGGCTCCTGATCGGGAGCGGGCAGGCGGTCTATCTTAAGTCCGTCGGCCCTCTCAGCATTGTCGTCCTTCCAGGAACCATCTGTTGGAATTATCAGTTCAATTTCTATTTATTATTATTCTAATTGACTAACACACTCGGCTTATATTGAGGTTGCCCCCAAAGTTTCGATTAGTGAGGTCGCTAATTTTTC